TATTTCTCTCTCTGGGCCCAATGAGAATATATCTGCTGAATGTAACTCCGCATTGGCGACAGGGAAAGGCATCCGGCCATTAAAACACACAACTCAGTTCCATTCAGTTGCCCAGACTCTACCCTGCAAGGGATTATGGGGTCTTTAGAAGAAGATGATGATTCTTGGATCTCCCATCATTTCCACCCTCCCATCTTCTTGTGGGCCCTCTGCAAATGCCCCACCACACCTTGGCACCCCAACATGAAGATCTAGTAATACAGAGACCAGCATGATCTTCCTAAAAGACACTGACTACTGGTTCTGTGGATGTGGCTTGGTGGGCATGGCAGGGGAAGGATACTGCAAAATCTCCATTCCCACCCCACTATGGGGCCAGCCAGAGGTGGTATTGGCCGGTTCTCCGAATTACTCAAAATTTCCGCTACCGGTTCTCCAGAACCTGTCAGAACCTGCTGAATAGCACCCCTGAGTGACTCCCTGGTTAAAGTTAGGGTCAGGTGTCCATGCTTTAGCATGATTTTTAGCAAAATCATATTTTGGTTCCTTCCGTGAGATACACTGGCTCCCTCTTCTTTCTTTCCCTCAATTTTTCGAGCCTCACACCGACAATTGTTTAAAATCAGGAACTTCCGTATTTTTTTCCAGTCGAGAGATAAATTTGGGACTTCAGCAGGTGAAACCGGGAGTCCTTCAAGAAAAGGCTTTATCAAAGAGGCTGGGCAGAAAATTCCACGTTTTTCAGATACGGCGTAGAAATGTCCAGCCCCGAGATTTGAAAGGGCAGGCAGGAGGTTGTTATTGCTATCACAATTTGCTTTGGAAGAAGATCAAGAAACAAGATGCCAAAAACAGAGGATGGACTTTGTTCGCTACACATTACTGGACTCTAGTCCTGGTGTCCGCAGCCTTTTTTTTGCTTCTTCTCCTTGGAAAGAATTTTAGAATCCCCTTTTGCAGGAAGTAAAAAAAGAAAATTCACAAGAAGAGTCATTATGGACACAAGACTTTTGGGTTTTAGTTACGTGGCTTCTATGCATTGAATCAAGCGTTAGATCAGGGATCGGCAACCTGTGGCTCTGGAGCCGCATGTGGCTCTTTCATCCCTCTGCTGCGGCTCCCAGTTGCCAGTTGGCGCCACAATTTTGAGAGGAGCTTCTGGTTTTGGGGGTTGGGGGGAAGCACGACATGCCAGGAGGAGACTCTATGGTGGGGGGGAACAGGACTTCCGGTTGGCAGAGGAAAAAGGATGCGGTGCTAGGAGGAGACTCTATGGTGGGGGGAACAGGACTTCCGGTTGGCAGAGGAAAAAGGATGCGGTGCTAGGAGGAAACTGTATGGTAGGGGGAACAGGACTTCCGGTCGGCTCTAAAATTGAACGGGGGGCTTCCGGTTAGGACCTTTGTGGCTCCTTGAGTGTTTAAGGTTGCCGACCCCTGAGTTAGATTGATTGGAGGGGGAGGGGAGAGAAAATTGAACAGGTTATAAGAGTTTTTGAGCAAAAGTAACAATTCCCTGGTGGATTGAAATACAGGATAGTCCTCAACTTACAGCCTCAACGGAGCCCCAAAATTTCTGAGACGTCTGTTAAGTGAACTTGGCCCCTGTTTTAGAACCTTTCTCGCCTCCGTTGTTAAGCGAACCACTGCAGTTGATAAGTTAGTAACCCGGTCGTTCAGTGAATCTGGCTTCCCCCCCCCTTGACTTTCCTTGTCAGAAGGTCTCAAAACGTGTGCCTGGGACACAGCAACGGTCATAAATACGAGTCAGTTTGCGTCTGATTTGGGCTCAGGTGCCCATGGGGATGCTGGAAAGGTCATAACTGTGGAAAAACGGTCGTTAAGTCACTTTATTCAACGCTGCCGTAACTTTGAACGGTCACTAAACAGACCGCTGTAAATCGGGGATTACCTTGTATTTAAAGTTTTCCCTTATCTTTACATTTAAAATTTTTTAAAAATTACAATTTGGAGGTCTCTGGTGGCTTCGGCCTACGAGAGACCTTGATTGATGAGCCCGAACTGAGAGGGGGATCCGGGAAGGGGGAAACACAATTGTCATAATCCCACTGCCACAATGCGTGATCCGGGCCAAGCCACGCTAATCACCCACACTAATCTTAATTTGGAGGATTACGGTCAATGGATGGTTGCACGAAAGAGCATTAATTCAGAGGCATCTTTTCAAGACTTCGACACAAGATGGGGTTCTGAAGCAGTTACCGGGTTCCTGGTTCTGTTCTGGACAAGCAGACGAGATGGTGAGACCCCTTAGACCAGGGGTGTCAAATTCAAGGCCCGCGGTGCCTCTGCCAGCCAAAATGGAGCTCGCACCGCCCTCCCTGAGCACCGTTTTCACCAGCAGAGGGTGGCAGGAGGCCTTCACGGCTGAAAACTTCGCCCTGGGGGCCAGCGCAGTCCCCCGAGTGAAGTTTTCACCGGCAGAGGGCTGCAAGAGGCCGCCCTAGCTGAAAACAGAGCCCTGAGGGCCAGCACAGCCCACCCCACATGTGATGTTTTCACCGGCAGAGGGCGGCAAGAGGCCTTCACGGCTGAAAACTGAGCCCTGGGGGCCAGCGCAGTCCCCCGAGCGAAGTTTTCACCGGCAGAGGGCTGCAAGAGGCCGTCCCAGCCGAAAACAGAGCCCTGAGGGCCAGCACAGCCACCCCCCACGAGTGAAGTTTTCACCGGCAGACGATTGCAGGAGGCCTTCACAGTCGAAAATGGAGCTCGTGAACCCGTTTTCGTTTGGCAGAGCGCATCATGTGATGTCGAGGTGGCCATGCCCATCCTGGCAATACCCACCCTGGCAATACCCACCCCGGTCCCCCGAGGTCAAACACAACCCTGATGTGGCCCTCAATGAAATCAAGTTTGACGCCCCCGCTCTAGACGAACCGAAAGCAGGAATTGTGCTAGGCAGGTAGTCCTCGACTTACAACAGTTCAACAAACCGAAGTTACCACGGCACTGAGAATAGCGATTTATGAGCGTTTTTCCACACTTACGACCGCTGCAGCCTCCCTGCCATCGCGTGATCCAAATCCAGAGGTTTGCCAACGGGTTTATATACTTATGACCGTTGTGGTGTCCTGTGGGGGGGTGGGTCCCCTTTTGCAGCCTTCTGACCGGCAAAGTCGATGGGGAAGCCAGATTCACTTAACAACCGGGATACTAATTTAACACCTGCAGGGTTGATTCACTTAACAACGGTGGTGAAGAAAGTCGTAAAACGGGGCAAAACTCGCTTCAGAAATGCCTCACTTAGCAACATAAATTTTGGGCTCAATTGTGGGCGTAAGTCGAGGACTACAACTTAAACCCTGACTGGATGTAACATTTTCGTCATGTTTGCTGCTAATATTTTGTTAAATTGCTCCTAAATATGGGTAGTTCTCGACTCACAAGAGTTCATTTAGTTACAACGGCACTGAAAAAAGTGAGTTATGACGGTTTTTCACACTTATGGCCGTTGCAGCATACCCCGTGATCAGGCGATCACAATTCAGACGCACGGCAACTGATTCATATTTATGACGGCTGCAGTGTGTCCCCCCCCTGGGGGGAGGGGTGTCCTACGATCCCTTTTTGCGACCTTCTGACATGTAGAGTCTACGGGGGATGTCGGATTCACTTAACAATCGTGTGAGCAACTTCACATATGCAACAGTTCACTTATCAATGGCGGCGAGAAAAGTTGTAAAATGGGGCAAAACTCCTTGAAGAAATGTCTCACTTAGCAACGTGAATATAGGGGCTCAACCGCGGTTGCGAGTTGAGGACGGACGGCATGAAATGACGTAACAGTGTCGCAGAGTTTGATTCACTCTTGATGCCTTTACGCGAATACTAGCTAGCAGAACCATTTTCTCTGCGGAAAACACATCTGGGCGCCTAAAATGGCTGCCAGGATCAGTGACCTCTGACTCTCCGCTGGCTGGCTGATCAAGCCCCTACCTCGCCAATCCCTGGTGTGTAACAAGGCTTTATTTTAATTATTTTATTTTAAGTTATTCCTCCATCTTCGGACTGTGTTTGTCAACGCAGCTTCTCAAGGGACGCCATTTTTGTCCCTGAGCTTTGGCGCAACGGCGGCAGGCTGATTTTGAGGAAAGCATCTTGAGGAAATCGGGATCATCTTCATGTTGCGTGGTGGGGGGTTGGACTAGATGACCTAAGGTCCCTTCCAACTCTAGTTATTCTGTAATCTGTAATTTTTCACACAATATGCTTCTATCCAGAACAGCAGCATTTTGGACTAAACATCTACAATCTTTCATCTACAACATTTCAACAACCTCTTTGGCCGAAAAAATGCTTTTAAAAGTAAAAAAGAAAAAAAGCCTCTGATGATCGCGTGGCTCAGCTGGTATCATCAGAGGCTTTTAAAAGCATTTTTTCTACAACCTCTTCAGCCGAAGAGGTTGTAGAAAAAATAGTTTTAAAAGTTAAAAAAAAAAAGTTGGCCACGCCCACTTAGTCATATTCCCCCCCCCAAGCCACACCCATAGAACCGGTAGTAACAAATTTTACATTTCACCACTGACCTGAAGGTAGAACAAGAAGCAATGGATGGAAACTCATCAACGAGAGAAGCAACTTAGCGCTAAGGAGGAATTTCCTGACAGTGAGAACAATTTAATCAGCGGAACAACTTGCCACAAGAAGTTGTGAATGCTCCAACGCTGGAAGTTTTTAAGAAGAGGTTGGACAACCATTTGTCTGAAATGTTATAGGCTTTCCTGCCTGAGCAAAGGGGGCTGGACTAGAAGACCTCCGAGGTCCCTTCCAACTTTGTTCTTCTGGATTCTGTAAGATGATTTTGTGTAACTCTCGTCTGACGAACCCATTAAAGTCACACTGGTGAGCCACGGAATACGAACGTAATAATAAAGAACAAGCACAAAGGAAATACGGGACTTCGATGCTCATCCAACCCCTCTTAATTTTGGGAAGAAAACGTTGAATCACGGGAGTTTCAAATAATCGAAGAAAACTTACTGTGAGTGTTTGGTTTCCTGCATTAGTAGTTACAGGCGCACTGTGTTTTAAGGAGGCTCCTTTTCCCTTGTCTGTGAACGATAGAAATTTAATTCTTTTTTTTTTTTTCCAAACCCCAATGTTTCCTGCTAACATGCTTACAATCTAAGTTCAATCACGATCATGGCTACTGCTTGAAGGGCGAAGGCCGGGACTCCGATTGGTGCACCGGTGAGAAAAGGACCCCCTTAAGAGTAATTTTTACGCCCTTGGTCCCACCCATCTGGGCAACCTGGAACCGCCTCTGACGATCACAGGTAGTCCTCGACTTACATCAGTTCATTTAGTGACTGTTCAGAGTTACCATAGCACTGAGAAAAGCGACCCAGCGCCATTTTTTCATATTTATGACCTTTGCTGCCTCCCCCGTGATCATGTGATCCGAATTAAGACACTTAGTAACTGGTTCTTATTTAGAACCATTATTGTGTCCCGGAGTGAGTGGTGCGTTGGGCCTCACAATCAGGAGGCTGTGAGTTCGATCCTAGGTACAGGCAGATTATTTCTCTCTCGGGGCACAATGAGAATATATCTGCTGAACAAAACTCCGTACTGGCAACAAGAAGGGCATCCGGCCAGTAAACATTCTACTACCTTTATTCAGTTGCCCAGAATTCATCCCGCAAGGGATTACGGGATTGTTAAATGACAACAGAAAAAAGTGTCCCGGGGTCATGTGATCCCCTTTTGTGACCTTCTGACGAGCCAAGTCCATGGGGAAGCCAGATTCACTTAACGACCGTGGTACTAACTTATCAACTGCAGTGATTCATGAAACAAGCGCGTTACTAATTAGCGACTGCAGCGACTCGCATAAGCATGGAGGCGAGAACGGCCGTAACGTGTGTCAAAACTCACTTAACAAATGTCTCACTTAACAACAGAAATGTTGGGATCAATTGTAAGTCGAGGGCTGCCTGTACTGGGAAGCTTTACTTAGTAGTCCCGAATTCAGGTCATTCGGCTGGATCCCGCACGCGCGGGATCCTGATTTAGTCATTTTCAGGGCTGCTTACCTTTCCCCTTTTTCAAAATCTTGTCTTCCAGAATCACCCTCTGTCCATCAAGGCTGGAGATGGGCGCCCCGAGGTCTAAGGGGTCTTGCTCCCCGTTCTGTCATCCAATTCAGCACCGTGGATTAAAAAGGGCATTTATTTAGAGCAGTGGGTCTCAACCTTCCTAATGCCGCAACCCTTTAATACAGTTCCTCATGTTGTAGTGACCCCCAACTAATAAAATTATTCCTAAAACCATTGAAAATATGTGTTTTCCGATGGTCTTAGGCAACCCCTGTGAAAGGGTTGTTCGACCTCGGCAGAGGCTTTTAAAAGAAAAAAAAAACAGGCAACTCAGCTGGGATCGTCAGAGCCTTTTGAAAGCATTTTTTTACAACCTCTTCGCCGAAGAAAAAATGGTTTTAAAAGTTTTTTTAAAAAATGGCCACGCCCACATTACCCCCTACCCACCAAGCCCCGCCCACAGAACCGGTAGTAACACATTTTAGATTTCACCACTGATATATATATATATATATATATATATATATATATATATATATATATATATATATATAAAAATTAAAATTTACATGTGGAGCCTGGAATTCTATAAAATATACACATAGAGAGGAATAAAATTGCTTTAATCTCCTATCGGTGAGTTTAGGGTGTCTTTTAATAACAAATGAGGTTGAAGACCGTTTTATTTATCGTAAAGAAAACACCACGCGTTGAAATCTTTAAAAAAAAACAAAAAACACCTTATTTTAGTTGAACGAATTACTTACTAGTCTGGCCACCAGATTATTAAGATTCAATCCGTATTTTGCAACGACCGGACGCAGAACTTCCGTGACTGGCTTGGTGGGTTTAGCTTTTAAACCAACCGATCTATTTATAGGGAGCAGGTCGAGCCTGAAACGGATAGACAAACCGAGTGAACATAGTTAGTCCTCGACTTACGACGGTCCATTTAGTGACCATTCGAAGTTACCACCTGATTAGAAAAAGGGAACAACTGTTTCACACTTGCAGCCTTCCCGTGGTCACATGATCAACATTCAGGTGTTTGGGGAACTGACTCATATTTATGACGGACCGCAGCGTCCTGGGGGGTCACGCGATCCCCCCTTTTGCGACTTTCTGACCGGCGAAGTCCATGGGGAAGCCAGATTCACTTAAGAACCGTATTACTAATTTTAACAACTGCAGTGATTCACTTATCAGCTGTGTCAAGGAAGGACGCAAAACGGGACAAAACTCACTTAACTAATTTAAGGCACAACTGTGGTCGTACGTCGAGAGAACCATTCAGAATTTAGCTTAATCCTACATCTCTTTGAGGGGCGCGGTGGCTCAGTCGCTAAGGCGCTGAGCTTGTCGATGGAAAGGTCGGCAGTTCAGCGGTTCGAATCCCGAGTGCCGCGTAACGGGGTGAGCTCCCGTGACTTGTCCCAGCTTCTGCCAACCTAGCAGTTCGAAAGTAGGTAAAAAATGCAGGTAGAAAAATAGGGACCACCTTTGGTGGGAAGGGAACAGCGTTCCGTGCGCCTTTGGCGTTGAGTCATGCTGGCCACAGGACCACAGAGACGTCTTCGGACAGCGCTGGCTCTTCGGCTTTGAAACGGAGATGAGCACCGCCCCCTAGAGTCGGGAACGACTAGCACATATGTGCGAGGGGAACCTTTACTTTACATCTCTTTGACGTAATGTGAAACTAAGAAAAATGAGAATATCTTTTTTTATTTTTTTGGCATTCAGGACCGCCACGAGATAGGTGTGTTTATCTCCAACAAGCCAAGATTGTGGTGGCTGTGAGTCCTGGTTGCCATTGTGGCTTTTTTACACACCTCCCGCCCAGATAAATCTTCTCTGATAGGCAGAGTCTTGGAAATATCATGCTGGCTGCTTAGATTTTGCACTCAGAATACGGCTAGTCCTCACCTCGCGACCTCAGCTGAGCTCAGAATTTCTGCTGTTAAGTGAGGCAGTTAAAGTATTTTTTTTAGGTATACTACCAGAAAATGACAAGAAAAGGGGCTACATATTTACTAATACACGTGTTGACAGCAGTGAGAGTTGTATTTGCACAATATTGGAAAAATGAAGTATAATTAGAAAATTATTAGACTGTGCAGAGATGGATAGATGGATACTAATAATAAAAGATAAGGAACAGAATATTTTTTAACATGGGATATATTTTATCAATGGTTGGATAAAAGAGGTAGAAATTGGAGGATGAAAGATTACTGAAATATATAAATAAATGAAGTAGATTTTTTTTACCATAATAAGTAAATTGTAGTATTTTAATTATGGATGTTATTATAATTATTACTTTTACTACTAGTTTATTAATACTGCGCATAAACAGATTGATCCAGACAATACAGTGTTTATTAAGCACTTAGGTATTTTAAAGAAGAAAAAAAATATATAAATAAAATTCAAAAAATAAAAATAAAAAAATAACACGGCTAGTCCTCATCTCGCAACCTCAGTTGAGCTCAAAATTTCTGCTGCTAAGCGAGATGGTTGTTAAGTGAGCTTTGTCCCATTTTACGACCTTTCTTGTTACCGTTAAGTGAATCATCGTAGCTGGTAAGTGAATAACACGATTGTTGAGGGAATCGGGATTCCCTGTTGGTTTTGCTTGTCAAAAGGCTACAGAAGGTAATCTCCCCAACCTTAGGATACTGAAACAGTCGTAAGTATGAATCAGTGGCCCAGCTTCTGAATTTTGATCACCTGATCATCCACAAAAGTCCTGAGGTGCGAAAAATGGCTGTGAATCAGTGTTTCGCGGTGCTGTTGTGACTTTGAACGGTCACTTAAGTGAACTGTTGTAAATCAAGGACTACTTAGTAACGAAGTTGTTAAGTGAATCTGGCTTCCCCATTGAATTTGCTCATCCGACGGCCACAAAAGGGGATCACGTGATCTCCCCCGGGATATTGCAACCGTCATAAATATGAACTGGTTAGGAGTGGTGCGGTGGCCTAGAGATGGAGCTCTCGCCTCACAATCAGGAGGCTGTGAGTTCAATCCTAGGTAGAGGCAGATATTTCTCTCTCTGGGCCCAATGAGAATATATCTGCCGAACAAAACTCCGCACTGGCAACAGGAAAAGCGTCCGGCCAGTAAACACTCTGGTGGCTCCATTCAGTTGCCCAGACTCCACCCCGCAAGGGATTATGGGGTCATTAAAAGAAGATGTAAATGTGAACTGGTTGCCAAGTGCCTGAATTTTGATCACGTGACCACGGGGATACGGCAACGGTCGTAAGAGTGAAATACGGTCATAAGGGAGTGGGAAGGGCATCAGAGCAAGTTTCTGGTCTTACCGAAATAACGTCCTTTTTTCTAAGCGAAGAGTTTGAGAATCCAAAATGCTGCTGTCCTGCTGCAGTACGAGTGGCTGCGAACAGAAAAGGTCACATTAAGTCATATTTAATGTCACATTTAATGGGTGACTGAGTTAAAAAACTGAGAACTTTCAAGGTTACTCCTGTAGATTAGAGACTTTTACCTCCAGAGAAAACATCTGGAGATGACTTCAGCTGAGATAGCTGGTCAGTATTTGTCTTTAAAATTTAATTTGAAGCCCGTTGAACTATTACAAAAATAAATAATACGTTTTGGTAATAGTTTCAATCAATCAGAATAGAGCTGGAAGGGACCTTGGAGGTCTTCTAGTCCAACCTCCTGCTGAAACAAGAGATCCTAAACAATTTCAATCAATCAATCAATCAATCAATCAATCAATCAATCAATCAATCAATTAGAATTGAGCTGGAAGGGACTTTGGAGCAGTGGTGAAATTCATTTTTTTTTACTACCAGTTCTGTGGGCGTGGCTTGGTGGGCATGGTGTGGCTTGGTGGGCGTGGCAGGGAAAGGATACTGCAAAATCTCCATTCCCACCCAACTATGGGGCCAGCCACAGGTGGTATTTGCTGAATGAACGGCTGTGAGTCGAGAACAACCTGTATTGCAGGCAAACTCTGCCCACAGCCAGGAAGTTCGATCCTGGCAGGCTCCAGGTTGACTCAGCCTTCCATCCTTCTAAGGTCGATAAAACAAGGACCCAGATTCTTGAGGGCAAAATGTATTAATCCTTCTAGATTGTAAACCACCCTGACCCAGCTCCCCAAACACGACAAACCCTCTGAAGTGAACTCAAAGATTTCTTTAATTAGGAGTGCCGGCAGCCCCGGCAAAAAGTTTCTCTCTCACCGCAGGCTAACTGTCCATCCAGAAGATGAATAGTTGTCTGCCACATCTATTCATCTCCGCCTCCTGCCTTTTATCCCCAGAGATAGGGTGGGGCTTCATTAGCAGCAGTGGCTCTTCCTTCCCAAGGACCGGCCTATAGATTTCCACTGCTCTCATCTCCTCTGCCTTCTGTACATCTGTGTGTCAGGCACTGCACCCAGCTGTTCCTCCTCTTCCTCATCAGCCACCTCCAGACCTGGGGGCTGCTGTCTCTCCATCTGACGGCTGACAGACGGCCCAGGCTCCGCCTCCGTGTCTCTCTCTCCCCCAGCCCTGATGCTGGCCCCAACTCCCATGCCTCCTCCTCCTCCTCTGATTCGGCTGCTGGAGGCAGCCGACAGGCCACAACAAACCCAGAGAGCACTCTAAAGTGCTATTGGGGTGGTATATAAGCCCAAATGCTATTGGTCTCTCAAATCTCTGCATTGCTCTTGGAAAAAATGTAGCCTAAAAATGAATTAATTTTTTTAGAAAAGTCCCATGAAAGTTAAGCACCTTATCTCCGCCGATTAAAAAGAGGTCGACGGCAGCCATGTTGATACGTTGCCTTTCGCAGAAGTCGGACAGCACCTCTTTGATGGAGAACCCGCCTCTGACGGGCATGATGGAAGTGGAGCCATCGGGCAGGTGGACATGGCAACACTTGGGGGGCTTCTCTTTTGCCGTGGGAGGTCCCGATGGCTGGCAGGGCTCGCCCTTTGAAGAGAAAGCGTTGCGGTCTGCTGGGTAAATCGAGCGGGGAATTTAAACGAAGTACTAAGCCTCCATTGAGGACCTGTGTACTGCACGAGTCAAAAAGAGGGCTGTGAAATTATCTACAGACCCCTCACATCATCTTCTTCTTTTAACGACCCCGTAATCGCTTGTGGAGTGGAGTCTGGGCAACTGAATGGAGATGTATTTACTGGCCAGATGCCTTTCCTGTCACCAATGTGGAGTTTTGTTCCATATCTATATGTATATATCTACAGACCCCTCACATCCTGGACATAAATTGTTTCAACTTCTACCCACAAAACGACGTTATAGAGCATTGCGCACCAGAATAACTAGACACATGAACAGTTTTTCCCCGCATGCCGTCACTCTGCTAAACAACTAATTCCCATCACACTGTCAAACTATTTACTGTATTACTATTCTTCTTCTCATCCTTCCTATTACCTATCTCTTTCTACATATGACTATAACCTTGTTGCTTGTATCTTTACGATTTATATTGTTTTAGTTTCCTAGTATGACTTGATTGCTTATTTAGTAACCTATGACTATCACTAAGTGTTACATCTTAAGATTCTTGATAAATGTATTTTTTTTAATGTACAGAGAGCATATGCACCGAACACAAATTCCTTGTGTGTCCAATCACACTTGGCCAATAAAGAATTCTATTCTATTCTATTCTATTCTATTCTATTCTATTCTATTCTATTCTATTCTATTCTATTCTATTCTATTCTATTCTCTATTCTATTCTATTCTATTCTATTCTATTCTATTCTATTATTCTATTCTATCCATTTCAGACAAGTAGTTGTCCAGTCTCTTCTTAAAAACCTCCAGTGATGGAGCGCCCACAACTACTTGTTCCACTGGTTAATTGTTAAGTCCTTGCAACTACCGGTTGGGCGAACCAGATGTAAAATTAGCATCCAGTTCGGTCCGAACCGGCTGAATCCCGCCCCTGTCCCCTAGACCTTCTTTTTATTAAACTAGACAATAGTTTATCATCGTAGTTCATCCTCATGCATATTTTCAGTCCAAAAAGACAAGTCTTACCATCTCCAGACTCGCAGCCGAAGACAAAGAATCTTGTGATTTATGTCTGTAGGAGAGCCCACCAGGCTGAGAAGACTCTGGGGAGAAATATTAAGTCAGGTGTCTAAATTTATTTTAACAAAATGCTTTTGGAGTACAAATCTATCTAAAGCAGGGGTGGGATTCTACCGGTTCAGACCGGTTCGGGCGAACTGGTAGCTCCGGTGATCAGCCCCTGCACTTTACTGACCTATATCTTTTCAGTTTATTCGCGCGGCAGAGCGGATTGCTGCGCCTCAGCTGTGTTACTCCCCAGCAGTAACGTAGAAGATAAGTTTTTGTAAAACTGTGCACGCACACACACACACACGCAAAGCGCGTGACCACCGAACCGATTGTTAAACTGGCAGGATCCCACCACTAATCTAAAGATAGTTGTCTATTTAAGATACATTAATAATTTAGTTTATTCTGCAAGAAAGGGAGCTTAGTTACGTAGCATGAGGCTATATATTCTGCAATACTGGGACTATCGGTGAGTCAACGGCGGGTCAGAGGAGGAGCTGCTGCGGGATGGAGACGACCATTTGCTCTTTAAAAATTATGATTTAAATCGAGTTGATTTAAATCAAGCCTTTTTCACTAGTAATTTAAATCGGGATTTAAATCAACTCGATTGAAATCAAATCCACCCAGCAATGGATGCGCCCCTAGGCAGCTCTGGCCCCCACTGTTTCTCCCCTGGTCTCAGGTAAGGGCTGCAGGTGTCACTGAATAGGAACAAAGCACCTGAAACAAGGAAGCATGTATTCCTTTGACTGGATGTAGCCCAAAGAATAAAGAGATTTATGTGCTTAAAAAAAACCCAGTTGGAATTCGGCCCAGAAACTCATGAGAAAAAGAGTCCCACGCGCTCTCTACTCCTGAGTTTGTCCGCTACTGTCTTGACCTCTCCGGATTTCTTTTAGAAGCAGCCCTGTGACGGAAAAACACCTTACAATTCTGAGAGTGGACAGATGTAAAGATCCAAATTCTGCTTTGGGGGAACCTTGGTCATTTTTCTCTCGCTGTTCTTTGCATGATGCTTTCCTCCTCAGAGGGAACAAGCATTCGGTGACCCTCGAACCGTAAGATAAGTCTCATGTATACAAGCGGTATGGGTTTGTTTCTCTTTGTTGGGTTTGTCACCGTATGCTAAATAAATGAATAACTCTCCAAACTGGTAAAAGAGGGCTCGGAGAACTTTCCCTATCTGGATCCCATGAGCAAAGGGATTGCCTCACAGGCCTCAAAATTTGAAGTCCCACTGATGCCCTATCAGCAAATTCCATAGATTCCAGAAGTCTGCCCCCCACCCACCCTCCCTCTTTCCTTCCTCTCAGAATCCATCTATCCATCTATCCATCCATCTCCCTCATCATTTTCCCTCCTACCTTCCTTGCTTCCTTTCTTCTCTCAGAACACTTCCTTCCATCCCTCCCTCCCTCTCTCCTTCCTTCCCTTTTGTCATACTTCCTTTCTTCCTTCCCTCCCACTCAGAACCCCTCCTTCATCTCTCAGAATCCTTCCATCCATCCTTTTCTTCCTCTCTCCTTCCTTCCTTCCATCCTCTCTCAGAATCCATCCATCCATCCTTTTCTTCCTCTCTCCTTCCTTCCTTCCTTCCTCTCTGAATCCTTCCATCCACCCTTTTCTTCCTCTCCTTCCTTCCTTCCTTCCTTCCTTCCTTCCTTCCTCTCTCAGAATCCATCCATCCATCCATCCATCCATCCTTCTCTCTCTCTCCTAAGGCCTCATCTTTGGATTTTAAAACTCACCTTTGAGGCAACTGCCGTTCTCCTTCTTCTTCTGTGACCTCCCCAAACTCTTGCTCCTCGACCAGGAAAAAAAAGTTCCTTTTTTCTTTTTCTCGCCATCTTCTTCTCCAGATTCTTCATTCAAGGAGCGCCCAGACTTGGCTTTTCCGCCTAACTATCAACAAGTGCAATTTTAAAAAATCACTTCCGAGAGTATGGTTTCTTTAATCAGAATAGTGCTAAACTGGAATTTTTGCATGTTTAAAAAATAAAATAAAAAGTTATTGCAAAAAGAAAAAGAAAAAGAAAAAGAAAAAAGAATCGTGCTTATATTTGCTGGCTCTGCTGCCTGCTCATCCTCTTCTTCCCAGCAGATTTGAGACCTACAGACAGGACCTATCATACACACTTGCAGCCAAGACGAACTAACAAGGCCCATCTTCATTCCCTTCTTGATGAACAAGCAACTGCCAGAATAACAGAGTTGGAAGGGACCTTGGAGGTCTTCTAGTCCAACCCCCTGCTCAAGCAGAAAACCCTACACCACTTCAGACAAATGGCTGCCTAGCCTCTTTTTGAAAACCTCCAGTGTTGGAGCATTCACAACTTCTGGAGGCAAGTTGTTCCGCTGGTTAATTGTTCTCACTGTCAGGAAATTCCTCCTTAGTTCTAAGTTGCTTCTCTCCTTGATGAGTTTCCATCCGCTGCTTCTTGTCCTGCCTTCGGGTGCTTTGGAGAATAGCTTGACTCCCTCTTCTTTGGGGCAGCCCCTCAAATATCAGAAGACAGCTGTCATGTCACCCCTAAGTCGTCCTTTTCATTAGACTAGACATACCGAATTCCTGCTTAATCCTTTTTTTCATTATGTCTGATACCCAGTTCCTGCAACCGTTCATTATATGTTTTAGCCTCCAGTCCCCGAATCACCTTTGTTGCTCTTCTCTGCACTCTTTCTAGAGTCTCAACATCTTTTTTTTTTTTTTTTTGGTCCACACTAATATGCACCTTTTAGCTGATGCATTTTTACTTGGTTACAGTTTGAACCACCTTCCCAATTTCGGCTCAAACGTCTCGTGGGGTGGGGATTCACTCACTCACCTGCGCACCTTCCGTCGCACGCTCAAGATTTTCTTATTTCATCAAGCTGGCTTGGCCTAAATCTTTTCCCCTTTTAAATTTAATTTGTTTTTAAATTATGGGGTATTTTAAATTGGTCTCAGCCAAATTATTTAATTCGTTTTTATTCTATTTTAAATTTTTGTATTATTGTGTTTTATTCTGTGGCTGTTCACCGCCCTGAGTCCTTCAGGAGTAGGGCAGTATATAAATCCAATAAATATAAAAACAGAACAAAACAAACTCATGTATAATAGGGTGTGTTGCTTCTCTCTGTCATATAATACCGTGTTTCTCTGAAAACAAGACCGGGTCTTATATTAATTTTTGCTCCAAAAGATGCATCATTGTTGTTGCTAGTTGCAAAGTCGCGTCCGACCCATCGCGACCCCATGGACCACATTCCTCCAGGCCTTCCTGTCCTCTACCATCCTCTGGAGTCCATTGCAGTCACGCCGACTGCTTTAGTGACTCCATCCAGCCACCTCCTTCTCTGCCGTCCCCTTTTTCTTTTGCCCTCCATCATTCCCAGCATGAGGCTCTTCTTCTCCAGGGAGTCCTTCCTTCTCATCAGGTGGCCAAAGGATTTGAGTTTCCTCTTCAGGATCTGGCCTTCTAAAGAGCAGTCAGGGTTGATCTCCTCTAGGACTGACCGGTTGGATCGCCTTGCAGTCCAAGGGACTCGCAGGAGTCTTCTCCAGCACCAGAGTTCAAAGGCCTCCATTCTTTGGCCTTCTCAGCCTTCCTTATGGGCCAACTTTCACAGCCAGACATTGCAACTGGGAAAACCATCGCCTTGACTATACGCTCTTTTGTTGGCAGGTTGATGTCTCTGCTTTTTAGAATGCTGTCTAGGTTTGCCATAGCTTTCCTCCCCAGGAGCAAGCGTCTTTTAATTTCTTGGCTGCATTAGGGCTTATTTTCTGGTTATGCAAAAGATGCATTAGGGCTTATTTTCTGGTTAGGTCTTATTTTGGGGGAAATACAGAACTAAATGCATCCATCTGGCTGACAATCTTAACTGGGGCTTATTTTGGGGTGTAGGGCTTATATTACGAGCATCCTGAAAAATCATGCTAGGACTTATTTTCCAGTTGGGTCTTCTTTTCGGGGAAACAGGGAATATGTGGGTATATAAACAAATTTTGTATTTGTTTACTTATTTTGTCATGTCTGTGTAGCGTATATTGGAGGCGGTGACCCGCTTGAGAGCTGTATGCCACGAAATTTCATTTTAATGTATGCCGATTAGTGGACTTTCAAAGCGACAATAAAGTTATTATTCTATTCTACACCAGCAAGAATTTGATCTGTTTTCAACTGTGCATCCTAACAGATAGATACCTTTCTCGGAGAGGAAACACCGAACATGTCAGGACTGATATTGGACTTCAGCGTAGGGCTGCTTGGGACCCATTGCAGATCGGGGACCGGACGGCCTTCCACTTCGGCTAAAACACATTCTTGGTAAAACGGAGACTTCAGAAAGCGTGCGTAGCTGTCAAATTTCATCAAATTGAAAATCTAAAAGACAAAACAGGAGTCCTGTTAAGACAGAATTCAATACGAGTTTCACAAGTGGCAGAGTTTGTCCCTGGGAGGGGGGGGGAATAAAACAATTTAAAAATATACCATATTTTTCGGAGTAGAAGATGCACTTCCCCCCCCTAAAAGAGGGTGAAAATTTGAGTGCTTCTTATACACCAAATGTAGCTCTGCCCACCCTTTGGCCTCTGCCTCCCAGTAATTTACCTCCTTGCAGAGAGCAACAAACTGCAAACAGCCCGTTTCAGTTTCAGCACAGCCTGATTAGCACAAGAAAAAAAAATCTGCCTCCCAGCAATTTACCTCCTTGCAGCAAGAAGCAAACAGCCCGTTTCAGCTTCAGCACAGCCTGATTAGCACAAGCAGCTAATTGTCGGTTGGATCGGCCTCCCGACCATCAGCTGTTTCAGGTTGCAGGGATTGCCAGAGCAATAGCTGCGTGGGCATCCGCTGTTTGCTACAAGGAGACAAATTGCTGGGAGGCAGATTTTTTTTTTCTTGTGCTGGGGCTTATTTTGGGGGTAGAGCTTATATTACAAGCATCCTGAAAATTGATGCTAGGGCTTATTTTCTGGTTGGGTCTCATTTTCGGGGAAACAGGATAGTTGTGGCAGCCCTCCGCAAAGGGTGTTTTTCATAACCAGCGGAAGGGAATTGTTCAGATTTCCGACGGTACCTGAAGCTGCTGATCTTTGAACATGTTCGGATGCGGTGCGGTCAGGACATCGTCCGCCAGCTGGACTTGGCTGTCGATATTGACTGGCGTCGTAGCTTTGCTGCATAAATATTTATTAAAAATCTCCTGCGCTCTGAATGAAAGCTGCGAAGCAAGAAGAAATGACGTTAAAAAGAAAAGTATGCAGGAATTATGGCAGCCGTGAGGTACAGGCCGCCCTCGACTTACAACAGTTCGTTTAGTGACCGTCACAACGGCACTGGGGCAAAAAAAAAGGGAGTTACGGGCGTATTTTCCATTGTCTTCCATGGCTTCCCTGTTGTCTTTGCTTGTCAGGCGGTCGCAAAAGGGAATCACGTGACCTCCAAGATTGCATAAATACGAGTCAGTTGCCAAACATCTGAATTATGATCGTGGGGATGCTACAAAGGGCATGAGTGTGAAAAACGATCACAAGTCACTTTTTTTCAGTGCCGTGGTAACTTCGAACGGTCACTAAATGAACTATTGTAAGTCGAGGATGAGCTATCTTCTCCTTCCCGGGGTGGTGGCTCCTTTCTTCTCCCTGTACCTCACCTTAGACCTTCCAAAGAGTCTGAACAGCCTGAATTTATTGCAGGTTGTTTGATAATAAAGGCAAAAAGAGGGGAAAAGGCATTTGACAACATAACCTTACCTCCTTTTTGTCGTGAGCTGGTATGTGATTAAAATATTCGCAGGCTTGCCAAAACAGGATGTTTTCTTCGCTAAATTCCTTCCGTAAAAAATCCTAGTTGGGAAAGAGGAAATTAAAAACCACACTGAGGGGGAAACCTCCAAAAGCCCACCAGATCTCAAGCCCCTGAAACATCTTCCAGAGAAGGGGCCCTCTTGTGTCTCTTTCAAGGTCTGTCTTGGGCTGGGGGAGATGGCGGGGGCGGGGGGGGGGCTCAAAGCGAATCGAGCTGCAACGGCGACTGAATTAAGCTCAGCTATGGAGAAGGATGATGGGGCCAACCATACTTGTGATGGAGGTTGTCCCGAAGGAGACAACCATGTTATTGGCCCATGTACCGGCATAAAATGGAGGAAAATCTCCAGGTTCGGCTCCATCTCCTGGATCAAGGGATTAAGTGGGGACGGGAGGACGGGAGACGGGACACAATGTGTCTCTCTCCTCAAACAAGCCCCCTCCCCAAAGAGATCCAGACAGACAAACAGACAGACAGACAGACACATCCAGAAATTCCTGAAGCTATGATGCCCAAGGTGTCCACCTACATGGCCCAGAAAAAGATTTACTCGAAATTATTACACGTATTTCGGGCCAAAAAGAATGTAACACCCCAAACCTACAGATGATGTCCCAAAGGCAGGGGTGAAATGCTCTCGGTTCGGACCGGATCGCCTGATCCGGTAGCGATGGCGGCGGGTGGTTCGGAGAACTGGTAGCAAAAATCCCTGCGGGGCCCCCCCCATGCTCAGCTGAGCCACGCGATCATCAGAGGCTTTTTTTTTTTACTTTTAAAAGCATTTTTTTCTACAACCTCTTTGGCGGAAAAAATGCTTTTAAAAGTAAAAAAAACAAGCCTCTGATGATCGTGCAGCTTAGCTGGGATCGTCAGAGGCTTTTAAAAGCATTTTTTCTACAACCTCTTCAACTGTAGAGGTTGTAGAAAAAAAATGCTTTTAAAAGCCTCTGACGATCCCAGCTGAGTTGCCTGATGGTCAGAGGCTTTTAAGAGCATTTTTTTTCTTACAACCTCTGGTAGGTTGTAGAAAAATGCTTTTAAAAGTAAAAAAAAAAAAAAAAAAAAAGTTGGCCATGCCCACCCAGTCACATTAAACCCCCCACTATGCCACGCCCACAGAACCGGTAGTAACATATTTTACATTTCACCACTGCCCAAAGATGATTTTTTTCAAGAGGCAATTGGACTTTGTGGTTTTTCTTTGAAGACGTTTCACGGAGGAGGAGGAGGAGAGAGGAAGAGGAAGAAGAAGAAGAAGAGGAAGAAGAAGAAGAAGAAAGAAGGATAAGAAGAAAGAAGAAAAAGAAGAAGAAGGAAGAACGATAAAAAGAAAGAAGAAGAAGGATAAGAAGCAAGAAGAAGGAGGATAAAAAGGAGAAGGAGGAGGAGGAGGAGAAGGAGAAGAAGAAGAAGAAGAAGAAAGAAGAAAGAAGGATAAGAAGAAAGAAGAAGAAAAAGAAGAAGAAGAAAGAAGAAAGAAGAAGGATAAGAAGAAGAAGAAAAAGAAGAAGAAGAAGGAAGAATGATAAAAAGAAAGAAGTAGAAGAAGGATAAGAAGAAAGAAGAAGGAGGATAAAAAGGAGGAGGAGGAGGAGGAGAAGGAGAAGGAGAAGGAGGAGAAGAGGAAGAAGAAGAAGAAGAAGAAGAAGAAGAAGAAGAAGAAGAAGAAGAAGAAGGAGAAGAAGAAAGAAGAAGAAAAAGAAGAAGAAGGAAGAATGATAAAAAGAAAGAAGTAGAAGAAGGATAAGAAGAAAGAAGAAGGAGGATAAAAAGGAGGAGGATGAGGAGAAGGAGAAGGAGGAGAAGAGGAAGAGGAAGAGGAAGAAGAAGAAGAAGAAGAAGAAGAAGAAGAAGAAGAAGAAGAAGAAGAAGAAGAAGAAGTAGTAGTAGTAGTAGTAGTAGTAGTTGTTGTTTCTTGGATGACAAGCGAAACATCTTCAAAAGAAAAAACAAGGAAGTCCAGTGGCCTCTTGAAAAAGCACCTTTGGGACAACCATGACCTGGATGACTGAGAATCTCCAGAGACATCTAGAGATGGTGTTTCTTCCAACCAAGGTCATGGGCACATGGCCACAGCACCTCTTCCCTCCTTCCTTCAAAGGAAGACTTAGACCTTCCCGAAGGCCTGCAACTCCCATTCCATCTCCGGCCTTGCCGTTGTTTGCCGAGGACAACGAGACTAGCCTAGGGGACTTGTCCAGGAGATTCCAGGCTGGCCATGCTCTCTTAGATACCACCAGGATCTGGTTGCCAGCTGCAGCTCGATGCTCGTTCAGCGCACTCTGTTTGGGATAACGCCAAACCAAAACCGTGGCTTAGTCGTTCTCCATTGCTTACAGAGAAATATCGAATACCAAGGGGATCCTGAAGAAGACGCTCAAAGGAAACAGCCCAACTGGCAACTCTTCTTTCTCGTTGTCGTTGGCAGCTCTGGACACTGGGCAGACTGGCATTGCTGCTGAGGCTGGTGTCACTGGCGCCATCTTTCAAGTCACTGTGATTCAGCTCTGCGGTAACGTCAAAAAAAACCCAAATGAATCTGGCAATAAACGTACGGCTGCGTCAACCTCTCCGGAACTGGAAACCGTGAAATCTCTCGTTTGCTAGACGGGAAAGGTGAGAACCACAGCGAAGGACCAGGCTTTGATGGTGGGTCTACCACAAGTCGCCACGGCTGACTCGCCTGCAGCCAATGTGGTGCGGGACAAACTCGCTGTAGGACAACTGCTGTGACCAACTCTCCGCAGGACGAGAATTACACTAATATCGAAGAAATGGTGGAATCGAATCGCTAAAAAGGCCAAAGGAGGGACAATGTGAAAGGTGAATGAGAATATTTAAATCATGTTTCAATTGTTTTAAATAATTAAATTGAATTGTTGCAGTCCTGTGGTGAGTCAGCCATGGTGAGTTGGCCGCGGTGAGTTGGCCGCGGTGAGTTGGGCATGACGAGTTGGCCGTGGTGAGTTGGCAATGGCGAGTTGGTTGACCAGGCCATTGACCAGCAGGGCTTCCACTCCAAATCTCCCTGGTCACAAGCTGTGGAGAAAAAGTCTCCATCCAGCTATGTCCTGGGGCAGCAAAAAAAGCCAATATAGTCCTAGGCTGCGTTAACAGAGGGGTAGAATCAATACCACGTGAAGCGTTAACTTGGAATGATTCAACTTCACCAGCAACGAATTCAGCTTGTAAATGGAAGGGTTAATACCACTTTATGATGCATTGGTAAGGCATAACACTTGGAATACTGCATCCAGTTTTGGTCGCCACGATGTAAAAAAGATGTGGAGACTCTGGAAAGGGTGCAGAGAAAGAGCAACGAAGAGGATTAGGGGACTGAAGGCTAAAACATACGAGGAAAGGTTGCAGGAACTGGGCCTGGCTAGTCTACTGAAGAGAAGGACCAGGGGAGACAGGATAGCAGTCTTCCTATATCTCAGGGGCTGCTCCAAAGTGGAGAAGATCAACTTATTTTCCAAAGCACCTGAGGGTAGAACAAGAAGCAACGGGTGGAAACTCATCAAGGAGAGAAGCAACTTAGAACTAAGGAGAAATTTCCTGACAGTGAGAACGATTAATCAGCAGAACAACTTGCCTTCAGAAGTTATGGGTGCTCCAACACTGGAAGTTTTCAAGGACTTCCGTCTGCCTGGAATGGCAGAGGGTTTCCTGCCTGAGCAGGGGGTTGGACTAGATGACCTCCAAGGTCCCTTCCAACTCTGTTCCTCTCTTAAAAAAAGGAACCGGCCAGTCAAGATCCGCGAGGCATTACCTGGATAAAGCTGGTAGGAGCCCCTGGCGTGGTGCCACTTCAGCAGACACTTCCAGTCGCTCAGGGAAGGCCATCCTTCAGCGGCCATGCCCAGCAGAGCGGCCGAACCCACGGAGAAGGCCCGGTCGGCCTCCCGCTGGTGGCGAAACCAGCAGCAGCGAGCATCGTTTCTCTCTCTCTTCCTTTAGCTCTTATTTTACAGCATTTCCTCCAAGTGGCATCCTCCCTCACACACACTCTCCCCCCCCCAACACATCCTGAAGGATGCTCTTGGTACACCTGACTCAGAGCTAATCCGGTGCGACATCAATAATTGAACGAAAAAGGCCCTTTCGTGGCTGTTGCCGAAGGGATATGAATTATTCAACCTGCAGCGCAATACAAGGACAGACGCAGAGCTCGAGTGGCCACAGCTGAGAAGCCAATCGAAATGCAACACACATACACACACACACACACACCTGCCCTCTACACAAACAGCTTCATTCTGGGCTTTCCTGCTTTCCTAAAGAAAATTAAGAAGGCATGGTGTCCGGTTTAAAACTTTAAAATGTCTTTTCGGAGTATAAGACGCACTTTTTCCCCCTCCCTAAAAGAGGGTGGAAATCAGGAGTGAAATGCTCCCGGTTCGGACCGGATCGCCCGATCCGGTAGTGATGGTGGCCGGTAGCAAAAATCCCTGCGCCACCCCCCACCATGCTCAGCTGAGTCGCACGATCATCAGAGGCTTTTTTTTTTAAACTTTTCAAAGCATTTTTTTCTACAATCTCTTCTGACGGAAAAATGCTTTTAAAAGTTTTTTAAAAAAGCCTCTGATGATCGCGCGGATCAGCTGGGATCCTCAGAGGCTTTTCAAAGCATTTTTTTCTGCAACCTCTTGGCCGAAGAGGTGGTTTAAAAAAATGCTTTGAAAAGGCTCTGACGATCCCAGCTGAGTTGCCTGATCGCCAGAGGCTTTTCAAAGCATTAGAAAAAAATGCTTTGAAAAGTTTTTTTTTAAAAAAAGTTGGCCACGCCCATCCAGTTACATTACCCCTCCCCCCACCAAGCCACGCCTACAGAACCAGTAGTAACACATTTTACATTTCACCCCTGGTGGAAATGTTGGTGCGTCTTATACACCGAATACAGCCATTTTTGGCCTCCCAAAACCCCGCCCCACGCGTCCCGTTTTTGCCAAAAATAGGCCCGTTTTTCACAAAAACGGGATGCGTGGGGGGTTTGGGAGAGTGCTCCTGGGGGCCGGGGAGTGCAAAAACGTGACGCGTGGGGTGTTTGGGAGACCAAAAATGGGCCAGGTTTTTGGAAAAACACAGGCGTTTTAGCCCTCCCCAGGCCCCAGGAGCACTCTGCCGGCCAACAAACGCCCTCTGCGTGTCCCGTTTTTGCAAAAAACGGCTCCGTGGTCCTAGGGTGTATATACAGAGTGGTCCTGGGGATCACGGAGGGCAAACCGCCTGCTACCACCAATAGCCTCCCACCGGCCAGTACGCTCCCATAGAGAGGGGCTCCTCCGGGTGCCGTCGGCCAAACAATGTCGACTGGCGGCCCCCAGGGGGAGAGCCTTCTCTGTGGGGGCACCTACTATCTGGAACGAGCTCCCCCCGGAGATACGGAGGATCCCGGATCTGCGCACCTTCCGTCGCGCGCTCAAGACTTTCTTATTTCATCAAGCTGGCCTGACCTAAATCTTCTCCCCTTTTTAAATGTAAATTTTAATTTGTTTTTAAATTATGGGGTATTTTAAATTCAGCCAAATTATTTCATTTGTTTTTAATTTATTTTAAATTTTTGTATTTATGCGTTTTATCTTGTGGCTGTTCACCGCCCTGAGTCCTTCGGGAGAAGGGCGGTATAGAAATTTAATAAAATAAAATAAATAAAAACTTTTTTTTTTTTGTTTACCTCTTTGCAATCTTGGTGCAATCTTGGTTCCACTGGTGAATTGTCCTCATTGTTAGGAAGTTTCTCCTTAGTTCTAGGTCGCTTCTCTCCTTGATTAGTTTCCATCCATTGTTTCTTAGTCTTTTCTGCTGGTGCTTTGGAAAATACTGTATATTGACCCCCCTCCCCTCTTCTTTGGGGCAGCCCCTCAAATACTGGAAAACTCCTGTCATGTCCCCCCCCCCCGGTCCTTCTTTTCTCTAGACTAACCAAACCCAATTCCTGCAACCGTTCTTTGTTCGTTTTCGTCTCCAGACCTTTAATCATCGCAGTTATTTTTCTCTGCACTTTTTCCAAAGTCTCAACGTCTTTTTTGGTAAGGGGGTGACCAAAACTGAAGGCAGCATTCCAGGTGTGGCCTTGCTAAGGACTTATAAAGTGCTACTGATACTTCACCTGATTTTGGTTCTGTGCCTCTGTTTATAGAACCAAGGATTGTATTCAGCAGCAACAAACAGAATTCACCCAATGGAGCTAGTACGGACTCTGGGTTCACATTCCCATGAGCCACAGCCACAATTCCCAGTTGCCTACCATCGATCCCTTCCCCCCCCCTTCCCCAGATCCCCCCTGACCCTCTCCTTGCAAATTCAAGGGTCCCACCTACGCCACCTCCTTCCATCACCCTCCTCCCACAACATCAATGTTTGAATGAGTAACCGGTTCAAATCGAGAATGAGTTTGGTGGATGTTGGACCTAAAAGTTAATCTGTAAATAGACACTGTTAATTTGCGCAAAAGCATCATTAACAAAGGAGAATATTTGTAAATCAGGGTTGAAATGAGGGGTCCCTTGGTGCTCTCTGAGCTTGCTTGTTTTCTTGCAGATGTTTCATGACCCAGCTAGGGAACATCATCAGTGCTAGAAGGGAGTTAGATTGGCAGGGAGGAGGAGGAGGAGGAGGTGAAGGAAGGGAGGGAATGTCAACTTGCAAAGTTTGCAAGTTGCCGTGAGCAGGAGGGAGGGAGAACTGATAGAGCTGATTGATTTCCCTAACTGAAGCTGCATTCCATACATTCTTCCTGACCGCAATCAGAAGGAGGGTGTTGGGTTTCACAGCCAGCCAAAGTGGCTCATTGGAGAATGTGATTTATGACACGGCCAGGGAGCACGGGGAGAGACAGGATCATAGGGGAACATAAATCTATGTGGGATTAGTTCTAACTGCATCCGTATATTGCAGAAATGGTGCTCCTAATAAATGACTGTATTTCTTTTGAAGTTCGGCTGGTGGCTCATGAATTAATTAGGGCATTTTTTGGAAACTTCACAGGGAGGACTGTGGGGTCCTTGGTGCTCTCTGAGCTGGCTTATTTTCTTGCTGACATTTCATGACCCAACTAGGTAAGGTCATCAGTGCTAGATTTGCAGAAAGAAGGAGGAGGAGGGAGGGAGGGAGGAGGAGGAGGAGGAGGAGGAGGAGGAGGAGGAGGAGGAGGAGGAGGAGGAGGAGGAGGAGGATGGGAAGGAGGACTGTGGGGTCCTTGGTGTTTTCTGAGCTTGCTTGTTTTTTGCAGATGTTTCAACTAGGGAACATCATGAGTGCTAGTATCACTCATTGTCAAAAGTGCCTAAAAAATATCAGTTCTTTCCATAAAGACAGAAGCGTTTAGCTTACCTCCATCAGACACAGTTGTAGACTGCAGGGAGAGAAGGGAAGAAGAGAGAGAGAGAGAGAGAGAAATGATCAGTCGTGAATGCAAAAACTGGAAAATGCAAAGTTCTCAGCCAGATTTCTTTATCCACCCCTTCGATCCAACCTTCAAGCCACCATCAGCCCATTCGGTTGGATTTGATTCGGTCCGTTACTGAGAACAAAATGTTCCCAGTGAAAACAAAGTTTTGAATAAATAAAGTTGATTTCGGGAGACAGTATGTCCTATATCCGTGATGGCGAACCTATGGCACGCGTGCCACAGGTGGCACGCAGAGCCATATCTGTGGCCACGCGAGCATTGCCCTAGCTCAGCTCTAGCGCGCATGCGTGCGCTGGCCAGCTGATTTTCGGGCCTTCCAGTCCCATTGGGAGTCGGGAAACAAGCCGTTTCCGGCCTCCGGGTGGCCGCCAGGTGGGTGGGGAAGGCAGTTTTTGTCCTCCCCAGGCTCCAAGGAAGCCTCTGGAGCCTGGGGAGGGCGAAAAACAGGCCCACCAGGTCATTGCGTGCCAAAAGCGGGGGTCGTGCAGGGGGGGTCACGCACGTATGACCCCTGCTTTTGGCACGCGATGGCAAAAAGGTTAGCCATCACTGTCCTATATAATACTTTATTTCTCAGGAGCAGCTTATTCCAGAAGATCCAGGTGGCCAAAAGGATTTTTTTGCTTTTGAGGGACCCTTCGCTTCCCATCCTGGGAGAACTCTAAGCCCACCCACCCCCGTTCCCTGAGCAGAGCCCCTTCGGAAGGGAGTCCCATCAGCAGGTGCCTTTCAATCTGATTTTTTATTGGACAATTCAGGCATTGCAGTAAATCCAGTCCTCGACTTATGACCTTGGTTTAGGACCACAATTGAGCCCCCGGATTTACGTTGCTAAGTGAAACACCGGTGAAGTGACATTTGCCCTGTCGTTAAGGGAATCCTTGCACTTGTCAAGTTAGGCATCTGTCCCCGTGGTCGCAAAAGTGCGATCACGTGACTTCCCCAGGACGCCTGCGACCGTCATAAATAGGAACCGGTTGCCAAGGGTCGGAAGGAGGGGGATAAACATTGATAAGCAACGTTGATTACTTATTTCGTATCCTCTGACCATCACGAAGGGTTGTACTTTATGACATACAATGAATGTGTTTTTATGATGACCATGATCAGGATTTATGACTTATCGCTATGATGGCGAAGCTATGGCACGCGTGCCAGACGTTGCACCCAGAGCCCTCTCTGGGGGCACGTGCACCATCGCCAGCTGCTCTTTTGGTTTCGGGTACGCGCATGCGCACCCGCCAGCTGGTCTTCCAGTTCCCGGACTCTGGCGTGCGCGAAGACCAGGTGGCCTTCGAGATTCCGGGACTCTGGCTCGTGCGTACACTCGCGCATCCCGGTTTGGGCGCTCGGTGCCGAAAAGGTTCACCATCACTGATTTATAGTGTTTACGTGCACCAAGGGCTTATGCAATGGAGACAAATTCCTTGTGTGTGTCTAATTCACACAAAGAATTCTAAATGGTTTGTTTTTTGTCGTTTTTTTTTTTTCAGGACAGCGTGACGCAGCCGTCAGCCTTCCCATCTCTGACTCCAATCTACTTAAACTAGCTGATTCCCCCCCCCTTCTTCGAACTTTCAACGCGTTACTTTAACTTTTCACTCCCAATTTTTGCCTTCTTGACCTCTCTCCCTCTCCCTCCCTCCCTCTCTCTCTCTCTCTTTCTTTCTCTTTCTCTCTCTCTCTCTCTCTCTCTCTGTGTATCCGGCTCGGCCTGTTTTTTTTCCCCCTATTAGAGTATTTTTTGTAACTTTCGTAGGGAGGAGGGGGGCTTATTCAACTCAGAAGCATAAAAGCCCAAAAATATCCTTGAAGCAGCTAAAAATTGAAGATGGGGTCCCTCAGCCCAACTGCAGGCCGGGAGTGGGGGGGGGGGTGGAGAGGCAGAGGTGAGCCACCAGGGCAAGCTTTTCTTAAAATCCACCTGCCCCCTCCCCACCCGGTGTAAGACCCTGCTGGAAATTTCTCTGTCTGTCATCTAATCCAGGGGTCTCCAACCTGGGCAACTTTAAGCCTGGCAGACTTCAACTCCCAGAATTCCACACCCAGGGGAATTCTGGGAGATGTAGTCCTCCAGGTTTAAAGTTAACAAAAGATGGAGACCTCTGATCTACACACCCATTCATATGAATGGAGATCGTAATTCCAGGCAGATGTACATGAACGAAATTCGCTGGCTACATGGGGAGGGGGTCCTCGACTTATGACCACAGCGACGCCCCAAATTTACACCGCTTAAGTGAAACACCGGTCAAGCGAGTTTTAGCCCCGTTTTGCGGCTTTCCTCGCCGCTCTCGTCAGGCGAATCACGGCCGATGTTAAAGTCGGTAACAACGGTTAGTTTTTCAATGAATCTGGGTTTTTTTTTCCCAGTCGGCTTTGCTCGTCAGGAAGGGTCGCAAAAAAGAGGATCGTGGGACCCCCGCTGGGATGCCACGACCGTCGTAACTATGAACCAGATGCCGAGAGTTTGAATTCAGATCAGGGAACCGTGGGGATACCACAACAGTCGTAAGTGTGAAAAAAACAGCTGTGATATTTTTCAGCGCTGTCATAACTTTGAATGGTCGCTAAACGAACTGTTGTAACTCAAGGACTACTTGTATTTGAGGATTGTTCACTATAATATCAGATTAAGTTTTGTTCACTTTTTAACTCATTATCTAATCGTTCCTTGCCAGTAGCTATTCCTACCGAGAAGAAATACATACAGTGGTGGCCAAAATTGTGGAAACCTTTTGGGAAAAGTGTATTTTTGAGGTTTGATGTCTAATAGCACCCCTTTTTTTGGGAGTTTCAAGATAATCCTATTCCACTGCTGGAATGGAAAGGCCTGGGAATAGCCCAAACCTTCACCCAATTGAAAATCTATGGAGCCGACTAAAGAAACTTGTTAATCAGAACTTGCGGTAAAACCCAGTTAATAGAAGCCATCATTCAATCTTGGTTTCCCATGATAACAGCTGCAGAACTCAAAGACTTGGTTCCCTCCATGGGAAGACGTTGTAAGACTGGAATTCATGCTAAAGGTTACCCAAGGTCAGTATTCACTGACATGGGGATCATTTTTTTATATCTCGTTTTTTCTTTGGTGATCATTTTTGTATATCTCGTTTTTTCTACGTGTTTCCCTTTTCTTCTTTATACTCTCACTGCTATTCTAATAGCAAATCCTTCCTAAAAGTTATTGCACGACATTCCTGATTAAATTATCTTTCCATTGAGATATCATTTTATGGTACTACTCCCCCCCAAAAAAATAAAATAAATGGTGTTATTAGCTAGTTTTAGAAAATACACTTTTCCCCAAAAAAGTTTCCACAATTTTGGCCACTACTGTAGCCTCCATAGCTAACGTCAGACAACGAACAGAGATTAAAACATTTGGAGAGGAAAACTATAAATGTCTGGGTATCGGATGTTAAATTGACAAACCAGGTGAGATCCCCGCGGAAAATCCATAACAAGGCTACGCAGACAGAAGCCCTGTTGAGTTTTATGTGGCTTCCTTCTCAACCCAGAGGGCACCTCCAAAAACATTTTTCCCCCCAAACAAGGATAAAAACAGACTAAGAAAGAATCAATCCCAGTGTTTTAACCTTCTTTCTGCCATCAATCTGCCCGACCTTTTCAATATCCCACCCTGATCCTTTGAAATATTTTCTTCCGCTCGATTCCATAAACACAATACCTACAGCAAAGAAACACTCGAGAGGATTAAAATGTTGAACGGAGCCAACAAAAAGGGTTGAATGACAAAAAAAAAGAGCTAAGAAAACATCTAGGCAATAATAATAATAATAATAATAATAATAATAATAATAATAATAATAATAATAATAATAATAATAATAATAATATTTTAAATGGCTTAGGGAAGCTTACACGGGAAAGTCGCCATTTAGCGTTAGAAATACTAGGAAATGATTGTATTGTTCGTTGACATCGTCAAATAACCAATAGGAAAAAAAAATAACCAATCTGCAGAATAAAGACAGAAAGAATTTTTTCCCCCGTAAAACCCAATATTGACTATTCTCCCCCCCCTTTTTTTTTTAGAAAAGTAAAACTTACGTGACCGGATTTGCAAATTTTATCCATGAACAGAGAGACTGCAGGGAATTATCTTTCATTTAAGTAAAATTCTCGGGCTGGTCGCTGAGACATGCTCCCCCTTCTCCTTCCTCGCAGTCACAACTGGGAGTGTGAAGTGTATGTCCTTCCTTCCTTCCTTCCTTCCCTCCTTTCTCCCATCCCCCCCACTCAGTGGGGACCCACCCAGGTTCAACGTAGGCTTCTTCCCCTGTGCTACAATGTGGAGTAGCGGCAGCCCAAACTCAAAGGTTTTTAAATTCCTGTTGTGACAATCCCTGCATAGCAATTGAGCCGTCGACCGAGACAGCATACGAGCGGATTAGCCGTATGAGATTTCGCCCCGAGTTTTGGGGTTTTTGTGGGGTTTTTTTTTTTAGTTCAAGTCTTCCTTTAGGCAAGTTGAATCTTTAGCTCCGAATTCAAACGATCCTGTAAAAGCTTGTTGCTTGTTGGCATGTAGCTGCATGTTCGCAGAAGATTATAATCATACGCCAGTCGGATCTGCGGCTTGCTCCCATCGACTGCTCGCTCATTTCTTCACTCCGTTAAAGTTTACGAGGTCTTCTCCTCTCCTGCAGAACAGGATTCCCACAAAAAAAAAAAAAAAAAGGGTACCACACCCTCTCGTTTGAAACCAGCGGGCGCCGAAAACTTGAAAAGAACGTTCTGTAGAACCAATTAAAAGAGCAGCCGGTCCTCGACATGCAACGGTCCCTTTAGTGACCGTCCAAAGTTACGACATCACTGAGAAAAGTGATTTTTACGACCTCGTTTCGCCCTTACGACTGTCGCAACATCCCCCCGCGGTCCGCGCGATCCAAATGCAACAGGCCTGTAATTATGGCAGCATCCCGGGGTCGTGCGATCCCTGTTTGGCCACTTACTGATGAGCAAAAATCGATGGGATTCACTTTACATCCGTTTTTCTAACTCAACGACCACATCCAGCTAATTAATTAATTAATTAATGGAGGGACGCGGGGGCTCACTGGCTAAGACGCTGAGCTTGTCGATGGGAAGGTCGGCAGTTCAGCAGTTTGAATCCCGAGTGCCGCGTAACCGGAGTGAGCTCCCGTGACTTGTCCTAGCTTCTGCCAACCGAGCAGTTTCAAAGCACGTGAAAAATGCAAGTAGAAAAATAGGGACCACCTTTGGTGGGAAGGGAACAGCGTTCCGTGCACCTTTGGCGTTGAGTCGTGCCGGCCACATGACCACGGAGACGTCTTCGGATAGCGCTGGCTCTTTGGCTTTGAAACGGAGATGAGCAGCGCCCCCTAGAGTCAGGAACGACTAGCACATATGTGCGAGGGAAACCTTTACCTTTACCTTTACCAGTGAACTACGGTGTCTAGAGAGATGGTAAAATGGGGCCAACACTCACTTAACAAATGTCAGAAAAATATCTTTGCTTCTAACCTTTTTTGTTGCTCAAAAGGGCTCACCCACTTATCCATGGACTGAAGCAAACCAAGATTGATCGGAACTTGGTTCTGGATTTATTTTTCAGTTTACGCTCTGAAATCTGTTTTTAAATATAGATGTTTCAGGGGTTTAGGACACCTGCAGTAAAAATACCTCCCATTGTGCAGTTAATATTCCACTGCATTGTTTCCTCGGAATCCAGCAAGAAGAAGCCAAATAAATAAATAAATGGCTGCTGTTATTAGGTTGATCCAGATGCGGAAAAATATGAGGGAGCAGATGGAAGCCTTCTTGGCTCGATCCCAGGATCATCTGGATGTGACCAGATCCACTGCAAAGCTTCAAAGTCAGGACTATCTGCTCTTAAGTACAGAACGGAACTGAACAGAATAACAGAGTTGAAAGGGATCTTGGAGATCTTCTAGTCCAACCCCCTAACCAGGCAGGAAACCCTACAACACTTCAGACAAACGGTTATCCAACATCTTCTTAAAAACTTCCAGTGTTGGAGCATTCACAACTTCTGGAGGCAAGTTGTTCCACTGATGAATTGTTCTCACTGTCAGGAAATTCCTCCTTAGTTCTAAGTTGCTTCTCTCCTTGATGAGTTTCCATCCGTTGCTTCTTGTCCTGCCTTCTGGTGCTTTGGAGAATAGCTTGACTTCCTCTTCTTTGGGGCAGCCCCTGAGATATCGAAACACTGCTATCATATCACCCTTACTCCTTCTTTTCATTAAAACTAGACTTACCCAATTCTAACAACCGTTCGTTGCATGTGTTTGAGCCTCCAGTCCCCTAATCCTCTTTGTTGCTCTTCTCTGCACTCTTTCTAGAGTCTCAACATCTTTTTTTAACATTGTGGTGACCAAAACTGGATGCAGGATTCCAAGTGTGGCCTTATCAAGGCATTATAAAGTGGTATTAACCCTTCGCGTGATCTTGATTCTCTCCCTCTGTTGATGCAGCCTAGGACTGTGTTGGCTGAATAGAATAGAATTCATTATTGGCCAAGTGTGATTGGACACACAAGGAATTTGTCTTGGTGCCTATGCTCTCAGTGTACATTTTATTTATTTTTTTTATTTATTTTATTTCGAATTTTATATACCGCACCTTCTCCCGAGGGACTCAGGGTGGTGTACAGCCAGCTAAAAACATACAATACAAACATTAAAAACAATTAAAAGGATATATATTAATTTGGCCCCAGTTTAAAATGACAAACCAGTTAAAAATGTTTTGAAAAAAATGTTATGTTAAGCCAGCCCGGCTTGCTGGAAAAAGAAAGTTTTAAGGGCACGGCGGAAGGCACCGAGGTCTTGAAAAGAAAAGAAAAGAAAAGAAAAGATACGTTCATCAAGAAATCATAACGAGAAGTCTTAAATCATAATCAGAAGAATCAGAAGTCTTAAACTTGCCAAGGTTGGATACCCTTGGTCTAGAAGTATAGGGGGCCAGCGTCTGGGCTACGGCAGCTACCTCTGGTCCAGGGCCACCGGTGTGGGGTTATGCAATGGCACAACCGATGCTAGGCTACCTCAGGAGCTATCCTATGTGAAGGAAGGGACTTCAAAGCTTTATTATGCCTTCAGTGATCATACAACCACCACCATCATCATCTTTTAATGATCCCATAATCTCTTGCAGGGTGGAGTCTGAGTAATTGAATGGAGCCGAGTGTTTACTGACCGGATGCCCTTCCTGTTGTCAATGAGGAGTTACATTCAGCAAATATATTCTCATCGTGCCCAGAGAGAGAAATATCTGCCTCTACCTAGGATCGAACTCACAGCCTCCTGATTGTCAGACGAAAGCTCCACCTCTAGGCCACTACACCACTCAGTAATCGCACAACCATCCCCAAAGTTTAAATCAACCAACCAACCTCTCCGTATGAAAATCTTTGCAGTTACGAGTACTAAACGTTGCTAAGAAAAGCAGAATGCAAGACCCAAAAACGAGGAAGCGTAAAGTGACTTCAAGGCAGAGTATCCAGAAGTACATTTGTGCTTAATTTTCCTGCATCAAAATGAACTGTGCACGGACCGCTTTCGCTCCGAAATCATGAAAGTTACCTCAAGATCCTCAAGCGATCGGGTAACGCTGAATCTCTTGGAGCGCCCAAATGATCGCCGAGCCGAAGAGGAGTGATGGAAGAGTTGAACCAATCCGAAAGCGGGTCCGAATTTTGCGCCCTAAATCAGCCACAAAAACAAGACATTGAATGTAGGTTTCCGCCTGCGTTCTTCGTGATCTGTTTCCCCTGGTACTTCCTTGAAAGCAGATTTTTATGAAGCGTTATTTTAAAACCCGTTCCCGACGCACACAGGAGAGGAAAGACAAAAGTGTTGGGGGCACCAGAAGCATTCGTTAAAGCCAGTTGTCCCCGATTTTACGACCTTTCTTGTTGCTAAGTGAATCACTGCGGATCAATGGTAGGATTCAAATAATTTAACAACTGGTTCTCTGCCCTAATGATCGTTTAGGTGGGCGTGGCCATAGCGGGCGTGGCAAGGGGGTGTGACAGGCAGCATTTGGCCTCCTGCACCTCCCTAGGAGCAGAAACAGGCTGTGGGGGGGGGACGTGCTGCCCCTCCCCCACAGCCCGTTTTGGGCCTAGTAGGCCTCCCTGCAGCCTCCTGGGAGTGAAAATGGGCCGCGGGGGAGCCGTGCCTCCCCCCAACACCCCGTTTTGGGCCTAGGAGGCCTCCCTGCACTTACCTGGGAGCCAAAATGCGGCACATGGGAACTCCTGGAAGGGACAGTTTAACTATTGGGTTCGCCCGAATTGGCCCAAACCGGCTGAATCCCACCACTGACGGCAGTTGATAAATTAGTAACCCGGATGTTAAGCAAACCTGGTTTCCCTATTGACTTCGCTAGTCAGAAGGTCGCAAAAGGAGATCCACGTGATCTTGGGAACCCAGCGACGGTCCTAAATATGAGCCAGTTGCCAAGCTTCTGAATGTGGATCACGTGATCATGGGGATACTGCGAAGGCCGTAATTGTGGAAAACGTTTTTTTCGGTGCTGTTTGTAACTTTGAACGGTCACTAAATAAACCGTGGTAAGTCGGTGGGTGGAATTTCAACGGTTTGGACGTTAACTGGGAGCGACAGAAGAGAATATTCGTACCTCAGGGTTGAACTGTGGGGTCCTTGGTGCCCTCTGAGCTGCAGATGTTTCATGACCCACCCAGCATTAACTTTTGCATGCTACAGCAGTGGCCAAAATTGTGGAAACCCTTTTGGGAAAAGTGTATTTTTGAGGTTTGATGGCTAATAACACCACTTTTTTTTTTTTTTTTAGAGTTTCAAGAGAATCCTATTCCACTCCTGGAATGGCCTGGGAATAGCCCAAACCTTAACCCAATGGAAAATCTATGGAGTTGACTAAAGAAACTTGTTAGTCAGAAGCGACCCAGCAATAAAACCCAGTTAATAGAAGCCATCATTCCATCTTGGTTTCACATTATCACAGCTGCAGAACTCAAAGACTTGGTTCCCTCCATGGGAAGACGTTGTAAAGCCATCATTTATGCTAAAGGTTACCTAATGAAGTATTAACTGACACGATAATTTTTGTATATCTCTTTTTTTTTTCTACGTGTTTCACTTTTCTTCTTTATACCGTAACAGCTATTCTAATAGCAAATCCTTCATAAAAGTTATTGCAATACATTCTTGATTAAATTAACTTTCCATTGATATATAATTTTATGGTAAACATAAAGGTAAAGGTTCCCCTTGCACATATGTGTTAGTCGTTCCCAACTTTAGGGGGCGGTGCTCATCTCCGTTTCAAAGCTGAAGAGCCAGCGCTGTCCGAAGATGTCTCCGTGGTCATGTGGCCGGCATGACTAACGCCAAAGGCGCACGGAACGCTTTTCCCTTCCCACCAAAGGTGGTCCCTATTTTTCTACTTGCATTTTTTACCTGCTTTCGAACTGCTAGGTTGGCAGAAGCTGGGACAAGTCACGGGAGCTCACCCCGTTACGCGGCACTCGGGATTCGAACCGCTGAACTGCCGACCTTTCGATCGACAAGCTCAGCGTCTTAGCCGCTGAGTCACCGCGTCCCTTTTAATTTTATGGTACTACTCCCCCCCCAAAAAATGGTGTTATTAGTTAGTTTTAGAAAATACACTTTTCCCAAAAGGTTTCCACAATTTTGGCCACTACTGTCATTCTACCATGTAGTTTGCTGAGTTTTGGACTCCAACTCCCATGAGCCCCGGCAAGACAGCCAAAGGTAGGTCAAGATGACCTTCAGGATAATTCTTGGTAGCCTCCATCCTTGACGCTTCTGAGCGCATCGAAGCAACTCAGATGATGTGGTGGTGTCAGGGGGCATTAAAGTGGCCCTATTTGATGCCTCCGTCTTCTGCCGTGTTGTTACGTCCATCGGAAAACAAGAAGGACATGCTCTCCTGTTCAATGGGATGACTTCCGGATCATAAGTTTGGACAGACAGTCCTTGACTTACAACAGTCCATTTACTGACAGTTCAAAGTTGCAACGGCCCTGAAAAAAAGGGACTCGCTGTATGACCGTTTTTCACACTTGCGACCTTTGCAGCTGCCCCATGATCATGGGATCAAAATTTAGATGCTTGGCAAACTGGCTCATACTTATGACCGTTGCAGTATCCCGGGATCATGTGATTCCCTTTTTTGCGACCTTCTCACAAGCAGCGCTGGGTGGGGGATTCTGGGAGTTGAAGTCCACCCATCTTCAAGCTTCCAAGGTTGGGAAACACTGCAATAAATCCTTCCATTCCCCACTATCCTGTCTGAGCTGAAGAAGCTTCTTGGATGAGAAGTGAAATGTCTTCAGAGAAAAAAAGAAAGTCCAGTTGCCTCCTGAAAAAGCACCTCGCAAACATCTCGCTTAACAACAGAAATTTTGGGCTTGCTCCTGAGGTTGTACGTCGAGGACTACCTGTATTGTCCAGTGATTGATGGATCACTTTCGGCTATTTATTTTGGAAGAATATTAGCTCTAGCACTTGGAGCGGTGTGGTGGCCTAGAGGTGGAGCTCTCGCCTCACAATCAGGAGGCTGTGAGTTCGATCCTAGTAGAGGCAGATATTTCTCTCTCTGGCCACGATGAGAATATATCTGTTGAACAAAACTCCGCACCGGTGACAGGAAGGGCATCCGGCCAGTAAAACACTCTGTGAGCTCTGTTCAGTTACTCAGACTCCACCCCCCGCAAGGGATTATGGGGTCGTTAAAAGAAGATGATGATGATTAGCTCTAGCACTTGGTAGGCACTCGATAAAATAATCGTTTCTTGCACTCACGTTCACCTCAAGAGATCCCTCATTCCAATTCATTAGGAGGAGCTGATATTTGATGAAATACTATATTTTTCGGACTATAAGATGTCCGAAAACTGTAAGACTATAAGACTATAAGATTTCCTCTTCTAAATTTAGAAGAGGAAAGCAACAAAAAAAGATTTTTGGTCTCCCTCTTTTCGGGCCTTTTCCAGCCTTTTTTGAATGGGCTGAAAAAAGCCTTGAAAACAGGCCGAAAAAAGCCTCAAAAATGGACCAAAAAAAGCCCCCAAAACAGGCCAAAGAAAGCCTTGAAAATGGGCAGAAAAAAGCCTTGGAAAACAGTCCGGAAAAATCCTTGAAAACAGTCCAAAAAAATCCTTGAAAAGGGGCCGAAAAAATCCTCAAATACGGGTCGAAAAGTGCCCCAAAAACAGGCCCCCAAAAGCCTTGAAAACAGCCTGAAAAAAGCCTCAAAAACGGGCCAAAAAAGCCCCCCAAGCGGGCCAAAAAAGCCCCCAAAACAGGCCAAAAAAAGACCTGAAAAAGGTCGAAAAAGGCCTGAAAATGGGGCATACAGAGGCCAAGAAACAGCCGGCGGGTAGGCAGGGATTTGGCAATATTCGGTCTATAAAACGCACAGACATTTTCACCCCCTTTTTGGAGACAAAAAAGGGCGTCTTATAGTCCAAAAAATACGGTAGTCCAGAGATACTTGCTGATGCACGAACAACGCTAACACAACTGCATAACCCTACATCAAGTTCTTTTTTGTTGTGTAATTATATTGGCCGATCTTTGTTTCCATTTGCAAGGTTTCAAGTTCTTTGTCGAGCAAAATTAGCGGCAGCTGGGATTTGTTTAGCTTTGGATTACACCAGCAATGTAAATTTTCTTAATTGCAGGGTTGCGTTCTATTTTTAAACAATAGAATCTAAAAACGTCCTTATTACGGGGTGCTGTGAATTTGAGAGAGAGACGGGGGGAAAACACATTTTCTGAAATGGTAAAACGCTTGAAATAGCAGCCCTCCGACGTCCCGGCAGAAAGTTCATGCTCGCCATTATGCCGCCTCCACTCTGCAACTCTGAGCACGCCATTGGGGTGGATCCAGATTTAGGCCTGTACATTTGGTAAGGAACAAATTGTCCCAAAAGTCTTGTTTTTTTTCCAAGAGGCAACTGGACTTTCTTGTTTTTTTTCTTTTGAAGGAGTTTCGCTTCTCCTCCAAGAAGCTTTTCCAGCTCTGACTGGATGGTGGGGAATGGAAGGATTGATATTCCTTCTGTTATGGAATGATGAGACCAAACAACATTCCTGGGTCAGCCAGAGACAGTTTATTGCGCAGTTTCAGAATCAGATTTTGTATCTGCAATTCTGAACCAAGAAGAGCTCTGATACAACTGCTTTTATACATATCCAAGACAAAGGATTTTGTGAGCACAGCAGTTTCCCATATATGGTTAACATACATTTGTCACATGATAATTGATACTTTCTAAATTACTAAATCCCTACATTGTTTTCTAGTTCATAAGATTATCTTAGCTAAACAACCTTCCTCAGTTCTGTGATCGCTGATGCGTAGATTCAGGGCTGCTTTGGATAAGTAACTTTTGTTTCATATGGATGTCCTTGCATCCTTGACAGCTAGGCCCCTCAGAAGATATATATTACCAAGAATGGAATTTAGCTGACTTAGTGTAATCTCTAAACAAGCACATTTCTTTTTTATAATAATGTGAATAAAGAGGGCCCTTCAGTGTTCATATAGCTGACCCTGTACTATTCCTACATCATTCACATTATTTCCATTATTGAGGCCACATGGAGGCTTGTCTGTGTCCTCAGGGTCACCTGACTAGTGTAAATGGTTCCTGTCGTCTGCAATTTTCCCTCTGGAAATCCATTCCTACTCTCACACCATTCAAAGGATGTTCTTCCCAAATTGTATAGCTGAAAGTAGATAAAAGGAAGAAGGAAGGAAGGAAGGAGGGAAGGAAGGAAGGAAGGACGGACGGACAATAGCGGTAGCATTTAGATTTATATACTACTTCACAGTGCTTTACACCCTTTCTAAGCAATATGTGTGAGTGTGTGTGTATATATATGTATGAATTTTTCAGATTAGAAGATGCACTTTTTTGTCTCCCAAAAGAGGGTGAAAATGTCTGCCCATCTTATAGACCAAATATTGGCAAAGCCCTGCCCACGAAACGGGCCAAAAAGCCTCGAAAATGGGTCAAAAAGCCTCAAAAATGGGCCAAAAAAAGCTTCAAAAACAGGCCCCAAAAAGCCTCAAAAAGGGGCCAAAAAGCCTCAGAAATAAGCCATAAAAAGCCTCAAAAAGGGGCCCAAAAAGCCTCAAAACAGGCCAAAAAAGCCTCAAAAACAGGCCAAAAAAGCCTCAAACACAGGCCATAAAAAGCCTCAAAAATGGGCTGAAAAAAGCCTCAAAACGGGCCAAAGAGCCAAAAAAATGGGTCAACAAAGGCCTTGAAAACGGGCTGAAAAAAGCCTCGAAAACGGGCTGAAAAAAGCCTTGAAAATGGGCTGGAAAAGCCTCAAAACAGGCCAAAAATAGCTTTGAAAACGGGCTGAAAAGAGCCCTGAAAACGGGCCTGAAAAAAAGGCCCGCATATGGGGTGCATGGAGACCAAAAACTTTTTTGTTGTTGTTATCCCCTTCTAAATGTAGGTGCGCCTTATAGTCTGAAAAATACGGTATATAAAAAGAGTCTACTATTGCAGGAAATAAAGTAAATCACTTTCGTGTTATTGAGCAGACACTAAATGAACTATTGTAATGCAGGCCTACCTGCATTATTAACACACACACACATACATTCCCTTATTGCAGGAAATAGAAAAAGCACATTTGTGTTAGAGAACAGACACTAAATGCACTGTCTGTAAGTCAAGGACTACGCATATTTCAAGAAGAGACGTACCTTCCTGTCTTCTTTGGGTGATCTGAAGCCGTGTCGAGAATCCAAGCGATCCTCCCTCTGAAATTCTGTCTCCGCCACTTCTTTCTTTGGGGACAGGAGATGAGGTTGACCAAAGCTGCCGCTGACCTTGTATCTGTCCGCGGGATTTTACTCATGGGAGGCGGAAGCGTCCCGCAGTTGACGCTTGACCAGCCGTCGGTAGAATCCGTGTACGACTCTTGGTCGCTCAGGCATCCGTGCTGCCAGTCCTTCAGGACGTGAGCGGGCAACCACCTCTGATGGTCCCCCGGGTTCTTCTGACCCGGGGGCCCTGAGGTTTTGGACGAAGTGCCCGGAATGTCAACGTGAGCTGAAGACGCCAGAAATTTACTTAGGTTTTGAGATTTGTCATTCTGGAATGCGGGCCCCAATCCGACGTTTTCTTGTTCGGGACCAAAACTCCAGTGGGTATTTTGAGCTCTGTTTATTGGACTGCCCTGTAGATTGCCAAGAGTGTGTTTGTTGGAGTTGCTTCCCAAATCAACGACTAAAACCCGACTTTTTTCCTCCTGGTTGACGTTTCCGATCCCGCTGTCGCTGTTGCTGCTCATGCTGTTGTTCCGCTGGGCATCCGCTTCTCCATCCAGGAAGGCCCTGGCCCTCACCCCCTCGATGAAATCCCCCATGTCCCTGTACAGGACGGAGACGAACTGAAGGACCGGGAGAGACGACAAGGGGAACTCGAGGCAACCGTCGGTGTCCGGATCGGCTGTGCATTCCAATCCGAACCGTCGGGCGATACCCTGATGAATTTTATGACTGAAGAGTTCCGGATCCACCATAAAGACGTGACAGGATGTCCTCAAGACCGCTTCGTCCTCCGGAGTTAAGCTCGCCTCCTCAACGCTCTGCATGGTAACCAGTCCAAAAAACCTTTTGTCGTCGGGACAGAGTGCGCTGAAGGCCAGTTTCTCGGCCGGGTAGGTGGCAATCACGACGGCCGGGTTTGTGCGCAGCTGAATGGCGTCGTGCATGATCTGCATGGCCACCAACGAATGGATCCTTTGCTCGGCCCGAAGGCGGCGTATGCAGCCGCGGATGGCCTGCAAGCTGTCGTACTCCAGATTTGAGCTGGAAGAAGGAAGTTCGATCGATCCCAGGTAGCCCACCACCATGGCAACGTTTAAAATGCTCGCGTCAATTCCGCAGCATTCTGGGTCCTCTGGTCCACCTCGAAAAACCGAGTCGTGATTTAAGACCTGGGGCCGCTCCTCGTTGTACGGTGCGAGGGGTTGATCGCTCTCGGGAGGAGGTTCTATTTCCAACTTGGCCCCCTCGTGAACGGACCTTTCTTTTGGTTTTGGTGCCTGCGTATCGCCAGCAGAAATATTGGCATTTTCGAAGATCATGTTGAAAATTTCGCCGGATTGCATTTCCTCGACCACTTTCACCGCCCGGTTTATCCCCGGGCCTTTCAGGTCAAGCTTGGTCTTTGGCCACCCCTTCCCGTCATGAAGACCATCTTCGTCCTCGCTAGAACCAGCTTCCGCGTGACCGTAGCCTTCGGCGATGACCATGTGCAAAACCCCAGAGCATTTGCCGATCAGCTTCACTACGTCTTCGTGGGAGGCCCATTTCACGTTAATTTCATTGATGGCAAAGATTTTATCCCCTGCCTTCAGCCCCACGTAATCTGCAGGCTTCCTTTTAAAACAGAATTCAGCACGCAGGGAGCTTGGCCAGAAAGAGTAAAACCATATCCCGCTCTCCCTCGGGCAATTTCGACATTTCGGATGCTGGAGCTGTGAGCGCGCAGCCGCCGTTTCGGCTTCTCTCCTGGTCTGTACATGCTGGGATTTGATCAGGCCAGAAAACCTCTCCAGAATTACATTTTTGCGGGCTATCAAATCCGAATCTTCACTTGTCCTAAAGGAAAAAAAGAACATAAAAAAAAAAGAGGTTGAGACTTTGGAAAAATAGATAATAGAATTCTTTATTGGCCGAGTGTGATTGGACACACAAAGAATTTGCCTTCGGTGTTTGAATTTGTCTTTGCTAACTGAGTTTTGCCCCTTTTTACGAACTTCCCTGCTGCTGTTGGTAAGTGAATCACGACAGCTGGCCAGTTAGTCACCCAGTTGGGAGGTGAACCTGGCTTACCCCCCTTGACTCAACTTACGAACGTAGCGGACCCCAACATTTCTGTCACTAAGGGAGACGTTTGTGTGAGTTTTGTCTCATTTTACGACTTTTCTTGCCACCGTCGTTAAGCAAATCGCCGACATCGTTCAGTTCGCCAGACGGTCCTGAAGCGACTCTGGCTTCCCCGCGGACTTTGCTGGTTAGGTCGCCAAAGCGGATCATGTGACATCTCCCCCAGGACCACTACGACCGTTGCCTTCCTTCCTTCCTCTTCTCTTTCTTTCCTTCCTTCCTTCTTTCGTTTGATCCCTCCCTCCCTCCTTTTTCCTTCCTTGTTTACACCTCCCTTCCACTTCCCTCCCTCCTTCCTTCCCGTCTTTTGCTCACTCCCTCCCTTTTCCTTCCCTCCTTCCCTTTCTACCCTTCCCTCCCTTCCTGTTTTATCCTTCCTTTCCTTTTTTCCCTACTTTTCTTTCGCTCATTCCCTCCCTTTTCCTTCCTCCCCTCTCTACGCCTCCCTCCCTCCTGTCCTTCCTGTTTTTTCCTTCCTTCCTTTCCTCTGTCTCTTTTCTTTCCTTCTTTTGCTCTCTTCCTTTTTCCTTCCTTCCTTTCCTTTCTACCGCTTCCTCTCACTTCCCTCTCTTCCCCTTTTTCCTGTTCTTGCTTCCTTCCCTCCCTTTTTCCCTTCTTTCTTTTGCTCCCTCCCTCTTTTCCTTCCTTCCTTCCCCGTCTACCTCCCCTCTCCCTTCCCTCTCTCCCTTCCTGTTCTTTCTTACCTCCCTCGTCTTTTGCTTCCTCCCTTCCCTTTCTACCCCTCCCTTCATTTTTTCCTCACTCCCCTTTCCTTTTTTTGCTCTCTCCCTCCCTTTACCTTCCTTCCTTCCCTTTCTACCCCTCCCTCCTTCCTTCTTTCCTTTCCTTCTTTCTTTTGCTCCCTCCCTCACTTTTCCTTCCTTTTTTTCCTTCCTTCCTTCCCTCTTTCCTTCTTTTGCTCCCCCTTTTCCTTCCTCCCCTTTCTACTCCTCCCACCCACCCTCCCTTCCCTCTTTTCTTTTCTTTCTTTCCCTCTCCCTCCCTTTTCCTTCCTCCCCTCTCTACCCCTCCCTCCCTCCTTTCCTCCCTCCCTCCCTTCCGTCCTTCCTGTTTTTTTCCTTCTGTCCTTCCTTCACTCTCTTTTCTTTCCTTATTTCTTTCGTTCTCTCCCTCCCTTTTTCTTCCTTCCCCTTCGACCCCTCCCTCCTTTCCTGTTTTTTCCTCCCTCCCTTCTTTCCTTTTTTTGCTCCCTCCCTCCCTTTTCCTTCCTGTTTTTTCCATCCTTCCTTCCCTCTTTTCTTTCCTTCGCTTTCCCTCTCCCTCCCTTTTCCTTCCTTCCCTCTCTACCCCTCCCTCCCTCCCATCCTTCCTGTTCTTTTTTCCTTCCGTCCTTCCTTCACTCCCTCTTTCCTTTCCTTCTTTCTTTCGTTCTCTCCCTCCCTTTTCCTTCCTCCGCTCTCTACCCATCCCTCCCTCCTTCCCACAGAATTTCCCCATTTTGAAGACCAGCAGACTTTAACTCTGGCAGGCCAGACTGGAGATTCTGGAGCCGAGTCCAGCCGCTGAGGTGGCCTGGAGCAGTGGCCACCCCTGGCCAGGTCAAACAGGGCCAGCCAGACTTGTGAAGCTCGGGAAAGGCCACCACACCTGCGTGCAATTATCAAAGGGCTTTATTGAGCAAAGGGAGGCAGAGCTCAAAGGCATTTTAGCGCACAGCTATTATTCTAGGATAATGATTAGTTCTCAAGACTGATAATTAAGAAGCAAACACAAGGAAGGGTATTATGAAAGAAAGATAACAGATGGGATAGAAGTACAGATAGTCCTCGACTTACAACGGTTCACTTAGTGACCATCCGAAGTTATGAGCCATTTGAAAAAAAAGCGACCCGTGACCGTTTTTTTTACTTACGACCACGACATCCCCAGGGTCATGTGATCAAAATTCGGATGATTGACAGCTGATTCACATTTACGATGGTTGCAACGTCCCGGGGGTGGGGTGGGGTGTCACGCGGTCCCCTTTTGGGGCCTTCTGAGGCGCAGAATCCACGGGGAAAAGTAGATTGACTTTACAAACCATGTGCAGGGATTCCCTTCACCAAGGCGGCGAGGAAAGTCGTAACAATGGGGCGAAGCTCACTCTACTAATGTCTCACTTAGCGACATAAATATGAGGCTCAATTGTGATTCGTGCGATGAGGACTGCCTGTATTCCTGACATCGGTATGAGGCAAGAGAGTAGATAATAGTGATTTATTATAATTATTTATCATTTATTATACCACAAAACCAAAGAAGAATATGGAGAAGTTTGAATAATACCAAGAGTAGGAGGAAGAGCACTTAAGACTTATATACCGCTTCACCGTGCTTTACAGCTTTCTCTAAGCGGATTACAGAGTCAGTATAATGTCTGGATCCTCATTTAAACAACCTCGGAAAGGTGGAAGGCTGAGTCAACCTTGAGCCGGTCAGGATCGAACTTCCTGGAGTGAGCAGTGAGTTAGCATGCAATACTGCATTCTAACCACTGAGAAGGAAGGAAGAAAGGAAGGAAGGAAGGAAGGAAATGAAAAGGAAGGAAACAAAAAGGAAGAGGGAGGGAGGGAAGGAAGGAAGGAAAGAAACAAAAAGGAAGGAAGGAAATGAAAAGGAAGGAAAGAAATGAAAAGGAAGGAAGGCAATGAAAAGGAAGGGAACAAAAAGGAAGGAAGAGGTAGGGAGAGAAGAAAAGAAAGAAACAAAAAGGAAGGAAGGAAGAAATTGAAAAGGAAGGAAACAAAAAGAAGGAAGAGGGAAGGAAGCAAAGTAACAAAAAGGAAGGAAGGCAATGAAAAGGAAGGAAACAAAAAGGAAGGAAAGGGAGGGAAGGAAGGAAAGAAAGAAACAAAAAGGAAGGAAGGCAATGAAAAGGAAGGAAGGCAATGAAAAGGAAGGGAACAAAAAGGAAGGAAGAGGGAAGGAAGCAAAGTAACAAAAAGGAAGAAAAGAAGGTAGGCAATGAAAAGGAAGGGAACAAAAAGGAAGGAAGAGGGAAGGAAGCAAAGTAATAAAAAGGAAGGAAAGAAGGAAGGAAGGCAATGAAAAGGAAGGAAACAAAAAGGAAGGAAGAGGGAGGGAAGGAAAGGAAAGAAACAAAAAGGAAGGAAGGAAAAATGAAAAGGAAAGAAATGAAAACAAAAAGCAAGCAAGGAAGGAAAGAAATGAAAAGGAAGGAAGGAAATGAAAAGAAAGGAGACAAAAAGGAAGGAAGAGGGAGGGAAGGAAAGAAACAAAAAGGTAGGAAAGAAATGAAAAGGAAGGAAGGAAATAAAAAGGAAGGAGACAGAAAGGAAGGAAGAGGGAGGGAGGGAAGGAAGAAAAGAAAGAAACAAAAAGGAAGGAAGGAAGGCAATGAAAAGGAAAAGAACAAAAAGGAAGGAAGAGGGAAGGAAGCAAAGTAACAAAAAGGAAGGAAGGAAGGCAATGAAAAGGAAGGAAACAAAAAGGAAGGAAGAGGGACGGAAGGAAAGGAAAAAACAAAAAGGAAGGAAGGAAAAAATGAAAAGGAAGGAAATGAAAACAAAAAGCAAGGAAGGAAGGAAAGAAATGAAAAGGAAGGAAGGAAGGAAATGAAAAGGAAGGAGACGAAAAGGAAGGAAGAGGGAGGGAAGGAAAGAAACAAAAAGGTAGGAAGGAAATGAAAAGGAAGGAAGAAAATAAAAAGGAAGGAGACAGAAAGGACGGAAGAGGGAGGGAAGGAAAGAAAGAAACAAAAAGGAAGGAAGGAAGGAAGGAAACAAAAAGGAAGGAAACAAAAAGGAAGGAAGAGGGAGAGAGGGAGAGGAAGGAAGGAAGGAAGGAAGGAAGGAAGGAAGGAAAATAGCAAGAGCCCTTAGTGGCGCAGCAGACTAAAGCATTGTGATTAACACCAGCTGCCTGCAATTACTGCAGGGTTCGAATCTCCCAGGCTCAAGGTTGACTCAGCCTTCCATCCTTTCTAAGGTAGGTAAATTGAGGACCCGGTTTGTGGGGGCAATAAGCTGACTTTGCATAAATATACAAAAGGATGAAGGCTATTGCTTAACGCATTGTAAGCCGCCCTGAGTCTCCGGAGAAGGGTGGCATATAAATCAAATCAAATAAATAAATAAATAAATAAATAGTGCCCACAGGACCCATTGGGTGCTCTGAGTCTCATCCTGCGCCTGGATGTGGTGCTGTGTTTCCCAAAGAACCTAGCAAGGTCAACCCAGGAAAATTGAGGCTGGCCAGGAATTCGAGCATTTAAAATGCCCGCTGTAATCTAGGTGTCCCATGGAAACGCTGATAACGGGAAGAAAAGCAAAAGAAAAAGCAAATGGGAAACAAGACAGAAGCAAATCCAAGTTTCTAAGCAGCCCCTGAAGCCAGACCTCGAATGAAATTCAGCCTCTTATTTCGCTTACTCAGCCCTGCCAAGAAGGAGGAAGCCGGCGTTTTGCAAAGGAAGCCCTGGGGAAGAAAATGCAAGAAACCAGGAAAGATTCTCGGAAGCAGACAGGCAGCCTTTGCAAGACAGGGAGTCCTCAACTTATGACAAGTTTGTTTAGCGACCGTCTGAAGTTACCACGGCACTGGATAAGGGGACTTGGGTCCGCTTTTCACGCTTACGGTCACGGCAGCGTCCCCGCAGTCATGTGATCAAAATTCGGACGCTTGGCAACTGATTCATATTTACGACGGTTGCAGTGTTTCACATTTACGACGGTTGCAGTGTCCCTGGGGTCATGGGATCCCCTTTTGCGACCTTCGGATGAACAAAGCTCAACAGGGAAGCCAATTCAGTTAACAACCGGGTGACTAACTTAACCGCGGCGGTGATTCACTTAACAACGGTGACGAGAAAGGTCGTAAAGTGGGGCAAAGCTCACTTAAGGAATGTCTCGCTTAGCAACGGGAATTTGGGGCTCAATTGTGGTCGTATGTCGAGGACTGCTTCAGCTGGAAGAGGGGAAGAGAACCATGAACTTCTCCGAGCAGCCCCAAGGGTCTTCCCCCTCCCACCCCCCCAAAAAGCAGCGCCCACCACCCTTCTGTGGCCTGGAAGTTGGAGCTTTGCCAGGGGGAAGAGAGAGAGGAAAAAGAAAGGAGGGGGAAAAGGGGGGGAAGGGGTAGGAGGAGTGGAAGGAGGAACAGAAGGGAAAGGGGGAAGAGAGGGGAAGGGGAAGCGGGAGGGGAGAGAAGGGAGGGGAAAGCAGAGGAAAGGGAAAGGGAGAAAAGAAAGGGAAAGGAAGGGGCAAAGGAGGAAAGGAAGAAGGGTAGGAGAGGGGAAGAGAAGGAGGGAAGGGTTAGGGTTAGGGGAAGGGAAGGAAAAAAGGGGAAGGAAAGGAAAGGAAGAAGATAAGGCAAGGAAGAATGGAAGGGAGAAAGGAAAGGAATGGAGGAATGGAGGGAGGGGAAGGAAGGAAGGTAAGGCAAGGAAGAGTGAAAGGAAAGGAAGGGAAGGGTAAGGAAAGGAAAGGAGAAAGGAAAGGAAAGGAAAAGAAGGGAAAGGAAAGCAAAGGAAAGGAAAGAAAGGAAAAGAAAGGAAAGGAAAGGAAAGGAAAGGAAAGGAAAGGAAAGGAAATTAATGGGAAGGGAAGGGAAAGGAAGGGAAGGGAAGGAAAGGAAAAGAAAGGAAAGGAAAGGAAAAGAAAGGAAAGGAAAAAAAAGGAAGGGAAGGGAAGGGAAGGAAAGGAAATTAATGGGAAGGGAAGGGAAAGGAAGGGAAGGGAAGGGAAGGAAAGGAAAGGAAGAAAGAAAAGAGGAAGGAAAGGAAAGGAAAAAAGAGGAAGGCAAGGCGGGAAGGAAGGAGGGAGGGAAGGAAGGAAAAAAGGAAAAGGAAGGAAATGAAAATAAAAAGGAAGGAGGGAAGGAAAAGGAAAAAAAGAGGAAAGGAAAAGAAAGAAAGGAGGCAAGGAAAGAGAAAGATAGAAAGGGATAGAAAGAAAGAAAGAAAGAAAGAAAGAAAGAAAGAAAGAAAAGAAAGAAAAAGAAAGAAAGAAAAGAAAGAAAGAAAGAAAGAAAGAAAGAAAGAAAGAAAGAAAGGAAAGGCCAGAGCCCCCCCCCCGGGGGATGCGAGAAGGGCGCCCCTTCCCCCAAGCCCTCCCCCCTCCCCTCCCCTCCCCTCCTTCCCGCGGAGGGTCTCCCTCGCCCCCCGCCCGCCCTTTGTCCGCCGCCGCCGCCGCCGCCGCTCACCTCCGCCGCCTCCGTTGCCGCCGCCTCCCTCGGCCCCCGTTGCCAGGGCGACGCGCGCCGCCGCTGTCAATCACCCGCCGGGGCTCCGGCCCTCCCACCCTCCCGCCCGCCGGCGTGGCAGCGTCCTGCCTGCGGACTACGGCTCCCGGCATGCAACGCGCCCGAGAGAGAGAGAGAGAAAAGTGGGGGGGAACGCCCCCCTCGCTTGCCCCGCCCACGCCCCGCCCCCTAACAGCTGTCGGCAGCCATGCCCGAAGATGACGGACGCGGTGGTGCTGGAGGGGCAGCTGAAGTGGCGGGAGGGGAAGAAGGTGCCCCAGGGAGGGAGGGAGGGGGAGGAACAGGGGAGGGAGGGAGGGTCGGGGGTCCCCCTGGGACGCTGCTAACCCCCCTCCCTTGTCTCTCTGTGTCTCCCCCCCTCCAGTGGAAGAGCCGGTGGCTGGTCCTGCGCAAGCCCTCTCCAGTGGCCGGTGAGTCCCCCTCCCCTGGGCTTTCCTGGTGGCCTCCCATCCCCGAGACCCTCCTCTCCTTCGCCTCCCCCATCCCCACAAGTGAGGCCCCAGGGAGGGGCAGTGGCTGCACCTGTTGGATGCCCCTTTTTCTGCCTGGGAGTGGGAGGGTGGGCGAGGGTCCCGCTTGGAGGGCAGGGGGGCACCCACTTGGGCGGGGGGGGGGTGAAACCCAGAAGGAGGGGGTCCCTGGGATGTGGCTCAAAGGGGAGGGATTCTGCCCCTCGGCCGCCCCACTCCCCAAAATGAGACCCCAGGCGGCATTGCACTGGGAAGCGGGGCAATGGCTGCACCTGTTGGATGCCCTGGAGCAGGAGGGTGGGCGAGGGTCCCGCTTGGAGGGCAGGGGGGCACCCACTTGGGGTGGGTGGGGGAAACCCAGGAGGAGGGGGTCCCTGGGAGGTCTCCCTGGAGAGGCAGGGATGTGGCTCATAGGGGAGGGATTCTGCCCTCGGCCGCCCCACTCCCCAAAGTGAGACCCCAGGCGCTGGGGAGCGGAGCAGTGGCTGCACCTGTTGGATGCCCCTTTTTCTGCCCAGGAGCAGGAGGGTGGGACAGGATCCAGCTCGGAGGGCAGGGGGGCACCCATGCAATCCCCACACCTGGGGGGGGGGAGACAGGGAAAACCCATGAAGGGGGGGGGCTGGGAGGTCATGGGGGCTGTGCTAGATCTCCCCTCCCCCGAATGTGGCTCAATGGGGTGGGATTCTGCCCCTCCGCTCGCTCTGGCCACTTGTCTGGAATGATATGGGAACTCCTGCTTGAGCAGAGGGTTGGACTAGAAGACCTCCAAGGTCCCTTTTGGCTCTGTTATTCTGAATCAGCCCCCCCCCACTCTCCAGAAACGTTCTGCCACTCAATTAGGGCTTATTTTAGGATGCGTTTTTTCATGGATACCAAGTCTTTCAAATGTGAAATTGCAAAGAGGAAGAAGAACATTGAATATTAATCAAGACTCGCGGGTTTCGTTTGCTTCTAAGAAGCTCAGTTATTCTGTTAAGTGTAGAGAACACGAACGAGGCTGCGTGTTTTAATGCATATCCTAACATACCTTTTGTCTACGTGTAATGCAGAAGTGTGGATAACTTTGGGGGGGGAGAGAAGCAAGAGAGGTGGCAGGGCAGGCAGGAATTCCGCAGGAGGGCAGCATTGGGGTCCCTAGATGATCTGAATGGCTGTGGGGCAGAGGTCAGGCTCTAGGTCTCCTTCCAGAGCAGGGGTCTCCAACCTTGGCAACTTTAAAACTTGTGGACTTCAACTCCCAGAATCCCTCAGCCAGCAAAGCTTTAAGACTTGTGGACTTCGACCCCCAGAATTCCTCAGCCAGCAAAGCTTTAAGACTTGTGGACTTCAACTCCCAGAATCCCTCAGCCAGCAAAGCTTTTAAGACTTGTGGACTTCAACTCCCAGAATTCCTCAGCCAGCAAAGCTTTAAGACTTGTGGACTTCAACCCCCAGAATCCCTCAGCCAGCAAAGCTTTAAGACTTGTGGACTTCAACTCCCAGAATTCCTCAGCCAGCAAAGCTTTAAGACTTGTGGACTTCAACTCCCAGAATTCCTCAGCCAGCTTTGCTTTAAGACTTGTGGACTTCAACTCCCAGAATCCCTCAGCCAGCAAAGCTTTAAGACTTGTGGACTTCAACTCCCAGAATCCCTCAGCCAGCAAAGCTTTAAGACTTGTGGACTTCAACTCCCAGAATTCCTCAGCCAGCTTTGCCTTAAGACTTGTGGACTTCAACTCCCAGAATTCCTCAGCCAGCAAAGCTTTAAGACTTGTGGACTTCAACTCCCAGAATTCCTCAGCCAGCAAAGCTTTAAGACTTGTGGACTTCAACTCCCAGAATTCCTCAGCCAGCAAAGGCTGACTGAGGAATTCTGGGAGTTGAAGTCCACAAGTCTTAAAGTTGCCAAGGTTGGAGACCCCTGTCCTGGAAGGTCCAGAATTGGGTTTGAGGGCCGTTCTCTCTCTCTCTCTCTCTTTTTCTCTCTCTGTGCCAGACTGTTTGCTCCTCCTGGTGTACAAGGAAAGGTCCGAACGACTGCGAGGGCTGAAGGAGAGGAGCAGCGTGACCTTGGAGGACATCTGCGGCTTGGACCCCGGGCTCTGCTACGAGGGGCTGACCAACACCCTGGCCATCATCTGCCTCACCCAGGTGGTGATGCTGGGCTTTGAGAGCAAGGAAACCATGCACGTCTGGGATGCACACATCCGCTACAGTTTAGGGGAAGGTAAGGATGGAAGGAAGGAAGGAAGGATGGAAGGAAGGAAAGAAGGAAGGAAGGAAGGAAGGAAGGAAGGAAGGATGGAAGGAAGGATGGAAGGAAGGAAGGAAGGAAGGAAGGAAGGATGGAAGGAAGGATGGAAGGAAGGAAGGAAAGGAAGGAAGGAAGGAAGGAAGGAAGGATGGATGGAAGGAAGGAAGGAAGGAAGGAAGGAAGGAAGGATGGAAGGAAGGAAGGATGGAAGGAAGGAAAGAAAGAAGGAAGGAAGGATGGAAGGAAGGAAAGAAGGAGGGAAGGAAGGAAGGAAAGAAGGAAAGGAAGGAAGGAAGAAAAGAAGGAAGGATGGAAGGAAGGAAGGAAAGAAGGAAAGGAAGGAAGGAAGAAAAGGAAGGAAAGAAGGAAAGGAAGGAAGGAAAGAAGGAAGGAAGGAAGGAAGGAAGGAAGGAAGGAAGGCGGGCAATAGCAATGGCACTTAGACTTATATACCGCTTCATAGTGCTTTACCACCCTCTCTAAGCGGTTAACAGAATCAGCCTCTTGCCCCCAACAATCTGGGTCCTCATTTCACCCACCTCGGAAGGACGGAAGGCTGAGTCAACCTTGAGCCAGTCAGGATCGAACTCCTGGCAATGGGCAGAGTTAGGCTGCGATACCGCCTTCTGACCACTGCGCCACCACAATTCCCTCCAGATTAGAACGATGCTGTTGGATGCAAAGATGCCAGCTGCCCCAAAGGAAAGTGGGCAGACTAAAACCTTTAAAGCGCTCCATGGCATTGGACCCGGGTACCTTCGAGACCGTCTTCTGCCACCAGTAGCCTCCCACCGGCCAGTCCGCTCCCACAGAGAGGGTCTCCTCAGGGTGCCATCGGCCAAACTATGTCGGCTGGCGACACCCAGGGGGAGGGCCTTCTCTGTGGGAGCCCCTGCCCTTTGGAATGAACTCCCCCCAGAAATTTGCAAAATCTCTGATCTCCGTGTATTTCGCTGTGCCCTCAAAACCATGTTGTTCCGCCAGGCTGGGCTATCAATATAATGATTTTAATTGGTTTTAAATTGGGTTTTTAAATTCGGGGTTTTATAAATGAGGCCTATTATTTAATAATTTTAATTATTTTTAAATTTTGTCTGTCTTTGTGTTTTTAATTAGGCTGTACACCGCCCTGAGTCCTTCGGGAGAAGGGCGGTATAGAAATAAAATTAATAAATAAATAAGAAGAAATAAATAAAAGGCATTTCAATGAGAAGCTGAATTCCTTGGCTTTGTTCCTCCCACCAGTTCACCGGTTTCACGTCGTGGTAGCGCCTGGGACCAAGCTGGAAAGTGGCCCAGCGACTCTTCACTTCTGCAACGACATACTGGTATTGGTGAAGGATGTCCCGCCGGTCATCATGGGACAGTGGAAGCTCTCGGACCTCCGACGCTATGGGGCCGTTCCTAACGGATTTGTTTATGAAGGCGGGACACGATGCGGCTTCTGTGAGTAATTCCCCGTTTTTACTCTTGAGTCTAGGGGAAAAAAAACCCAGTGAATCCAACAAGTTAGAGAAGCAGGCCACAAAAGTTTTTCTGGACTGCTGAGAACAACTTGCAAGAAATGCAGCAAAGAAAATAATTGGGGGTTCATTCTTCCAACTGTCCTAATTCTAGAATGTAACAGTATATAAGTATATACAGTAGTGGCCAAAATTTATTTATTTTATTTATTTATTTATTTATTATATTTCTATACCGCCTTTCTCCCGTAGGACTCAAGGCGGTGTACAGTCAAGAAAAATAAAGAAAGAAAAAAAAAATGTGGAAACCTTTTGGGGAAAGTGTATTTTCTAAAACTAGCTAATAAAATTCCACTTTTCTTTTTTTTCTGGAGTAGTGCCATGAAATTATATATCAATGGAAAGATAATTTAATCAAGAACGTCATGCAATAACTTTTAGGAAGGATTTGCTGTTAGAATAGCAGTGACAGGATAAAGAAAAAAAGTGAAACACGTAGAAAAAACGAGATATACAAAAATGATCACCATAGAAAAAAACGAGATATACAAAAATGATCATCCTGTCAGTGAATACTTCGTTGGGTAACTTTTAGCATGAATGATGTACTTATGACGTCTTCCCATGGAGGGAACCAAGTCTTTGAGTTCTGCAGCTGTGATAATGTGAAACCAAGATTGAATGATGGCTTCTATTAACTGGGTTTTATCGCAAGTTCTGACTAACAAGTTTCTTTAGTCGGCTGCTCCATAGATTTTCCATTGGGTTAAGAAGATCTGGGCTATTCCCAGTCCATTCCAGCAGTGGAGTAGGATTATTTTGAAACTCCAAAAAAAAGGGGTGTTATTAGCCATCAAACCTCAAAAATACACTTTTCCCAAAAGGTTTCCACAATTTTGGCCACTACTGTAAAAGTAACATGGTTTAGAAGTTTTAGAAAAAGATTTAAAAAAACAACAACAGTGAATCAAAGAGGTTAGAGAGAAGTAAAGCTTTTTTTAAAAAACATTTTTTTAAAAGCATTTCGATTTTATGGTTAAAACAAGTTATGTTTTTGAGCACCAACGATGTTTTCATTTAGAACTTGTGGGAAACTACAGCTAGTCCTCGACTTAAGGCCCTAATGGAGCCCCAAGTTTCTGCTGTTCACTGAGACATTTATTAAGTGAGTTTTGCCCTGTTTTGCGACCTTTCTTGCCCCGGTTGTTAAGTGAATCACTGCAGTTGTTAAGTGAGTAGCACGGTTGTTAAGCGAATCCGGCTTCCCCTTTGACATGGCTGGTCAGATGGTCGAAAAAGGGGGGGAATCACGTGACATCCCCCCCCCAAGATGCAGCAACCGTCGTAAATACGAGTCAGTGGCCAAGCATCTGATTTTTGATCAGGTGTCTATGGAGATGCTGCAAACGTTGTTACCACGGAAAGCCGTCATAAGTCACTTTTTTTCAGCGCTGGGGTGACTTTGAATGGTCGCTAAACGAACTGTCAAGGTCTCCCTGTAATTGTGATGGAGAATCCTCCAGCTCCCGAAGCAGTCTACCTCTCTTTTCAACAATTCTTTTCGACAAGAAAACACTGAATGGATAGCAAATGTTAACGTTTCGCTCTTTTTTCAGGGGCCGGAGTTTTTTTCCTCTCTTGCACGGAAGGGGAAAAAATCAGCTTTCTCTTCGACTGTATCGTACACGGCATCTCTCCAACCAGAGGCTTTCGGAGGGCGCTAGCAGGTTAAGACGGGAAAACACCCCCCCTCACAGGGATGGGGTCAGGGGTGGGCTGCTGGGGGTTCGCAGGGAGAACCTCTAGGTACGATTCTGTGCAGTTCGGACAACCCCCAAATCCCACTCTTGGCTGGCCCTGCCCACACCACCCTGCCCCTCCCAGGAGTCCCCACACGGCCCATTTTGGATGCAGGTAAGTGCGGGCGTGCGCGGAGGGTCGGGGAGGGCAAAAAACGGGCCTACCGGAAGTTCGTTTCCAGCCTCCAGAGGGCCTCCGGAGCCTGGAGAGGCTGTTTTCGCTCTCCCGGAGGCTCGAGAAAAGCCTCAGGAGCCTGGGGAGGGCAAAAATACTCCCTCCCGCCGTGGTGCAGGAGACTGACTAGGCCACGCCCACCATGGCCACGCCCACCCAGCAACCGGGCAGGGAACCCCTTGCTAGAATTTTTGAAGCCCACCCCTGCATGGGGTGATAAGCAAAGCTGATCCCTCGTCTGACCCTCGTCCACTCTAAATAAACTAAATAATATACTGATAATTTACTGATAATTTTCACCTAAATAATATACCTGATAATTTAGGTATTTAGAAAAAGAAAAACAGAACCCCATTGGATTAAAAGTAAGCTTTGGTAAGGCCACACCTGGAATCCTGCATCCAGTTTTGGTCGTCACGATGTAAAAAAGATATGGAGACTCCGGAAAGAGTGCAGAGAAGAGCAACAAAGATGATTAGGGGACTTGAGGCTAAAACGTATAAAGAACGGTTGCTGGAACTGGGTATGGCTAGTAGTTTAATGAAAAGAAGATTTCCTGCTTGAGCAGGAGTTAAGACTGGAAGACTTCTAAGCAGGGGGGAAAACCAGCAGGTTCTGACAGGTTCTGGAGAACCAGTAGCGGAAATTTTGAGCAGTTCGGAGAACCGGTAGCGGAAATTTTAAGCAGTTCGGAGAACCGGTAGCGGAAATTTTGAGTAGTTCGGAGAACCGGTAGCGGAAATTTTGAGTAGTTCGGAGAACCGGTAGCGGAAATTTTGAGTAGTTCGGAGAACCGGTAGCGGAAATTTTGAGCAGTTCGGAGAACCGGTAGTGGAAATTTTGAGTAGTTCAGAGAACCGGTAGCGGAAATTTTGAGTAGTTCGGAGAACCAGCAAATACCACCTCTGGCTGGCCCCAAAGTGGGGAGGGAATGGAGATTTTGCAGTATCCTTCCCCTGCCACACCCCCCAAGCCACAACACGCCTCCCAAGCCATGCCTACAGAACTGGTAGTAAAAAAAATTGGATTTCATCTTTGCTTCTAAGGTCTAGTTTGATGAAGAGAAGGACTAGGGGAGACATGATAGCAGTGTTCCAATATCTCAAGGGTTGCCCCAAAGAAGGGGGAGTCAAGCTATTCTCCAAAGCACCTGAGAGCAGGACAAGAATTAGAATTAGAATTAATCTCAGCCTGTCTCATTGACCTCTCTATCTCTACCCCTCCCTTTCTCGAAGACCCCAGTGCGAGTCCCGCCTGCACGGAAGAAAGGGTGGCCTACGAGGCTTCGAAGCTGGAGAAGCGCCTCAGCCTGCTGTCCCACAGCGGCTGCCACGGCAGCGGAGGTAACGTCTCTCGCCCAGCCCTTCCTTCCTTCTCCGTCCCAGGAATTTGCTCCACAGCGGAGCCGGAGAACCGAACCGCTTCGCCACTTTGGTTCCTTTCAGGGCCCGTGGGAGGGGGCGAGGAGAAGGAAGCTGGGCTTTAGATGTGAGGGTGGGCCCTAGAGGTGGTATTCAGCCGGTTCGCACCGGTTCGGGTGAACCGATTGCAGTGATCACAGGTGGTGCTATTTAGGCACATTTTCGAAACCGGGCACATGCACGGAAGGCTGGGTGCATTCGCGGACAGCGCACGTGGTGAATCAGTGGTAAAGGTAAGTGAAACCACCCCTGGACAAGCTCCCTTGTCTGCTGGTTTCTGCACAGTCGGTGCCAAATTCCGGGTCTGAAAAAAAATATTCTTTGCCCAATTTAATAAAGGGTAGCTGCTAAGCCCGGGGAGAGGAGAATGGACAGAAGTGAATGGGACAAGGCTTTCTGCAAGAGTAGCCATAGAAACAACAGAGAGATAACAGAGTCCGGTCACTCCATCCATGCCCAGCTAATCTTTAAAGCGCCACCGGATTTAAGTTCTTCTTGTTCTCTGCAAGGATGGGACGGAGTTTGGGCTGCGCCACCGAGTAGAAGCGGGAAGGAGCCAGGTTCCAAAATATAAGTAGAGTGTCATGGGTCTTCCTGTCATATTTTTCTTCTGGGACAGATTTGCATTGCAGGTGACTTAATCGGCCTGTCCCAGGTGTTGCCAGATGCTGGCGCAACCCCATCGGATTCTAGTTCGTAGGAGGAGGAGAAGGAGGAATTGAAACCCTGGGACTGTCTGTCAGGGATGGCACATTTTCCCTGGAATGTTTGGGGCTGAGAACGCTGTTGTCCCAGGCCTCTCAGGCATTGGGGGAAGTGGTCGACCAGACAGGGAGGTGCCTGCCCACACAGACACGGGGTGAGGGGCGTGGGGGGGGAGGATGGACTGCAGAGAGTGGGTGGGGATGAAGGACAGCTGCCTCCTCCACTTGATCCGAGGGCACAGAGGGTAGAGCGGAGGCAAGCTCAGAGGAGGTCTGCGGAGGCTGCCGGTGAGGAGGCCGCCCCGTTCCTCCTCACAAAGGCTGGGGTTGACTTAAACAGAGGCCCGGTGTGGGGGTAGAGGTGCTTATTTTTGTCAGAAGTAATTGTATGTTTTTGGCATGCACTCCCCCCCACCCCACCCGACCTTAGAAAAAAAACCTGCTTTGGATCATGTTTGGTGTGGGGACCTTGACTCTCGGATCTTTCCCTCCCTCGATCTTGCATCTTGCCTTTGGACTTCCTCTCTGTCTTTGTGAATTGGTTTCGTTGCTTCCTGGGTTTTGTTTGTGGGTGGCTGCCTTCAGGGAAGTTTGGGGTAGAGCCTTCACGGCCGTTGGAAGGCTGTTTGTTGTGGAATTGAACGGCGCAAAAAAAAAAGAGAGCCTCTATCTAGGCTACCTGGGTGATAATGGATACTGTCCTGCCTGGCTAGGATTAGTGGCATCGCTCTCTGCTCCCACACAGCTTCCACTGTTTAATCCTGTGTCTCTTCTTCCTTCAACTAGGAGATGACCGCAGCTTGTCCAGTGCATCCTCGGACACCAGCCACTCCGATGCCAGCATTGGGAGCAGACTGACTCTCTGGCCCGAGCAGTCATCCGCCGGCACTTCCCAGGAGTCTCGTGGACCGGTGGCGGCGGCGGCGGCGGCAACAGCAGCAGAGAAGCTGCAGTCAGACGGAGCCCACGGGGCCAGCAAGCTTCCCCCCGGCCTCCTGCGCTCCAGGCAGCTCCAAGAAATTGGCCGCCAGAGTTCCTCCGACAGCGGGATAGCGACCGGAAGCCACTCTTCTTATTCGGGAAGCTTCTCTTCCTACGCGGGGAGCCTGGACATTTGCCACGGGGATGAGTTTGGGTCCCTGCTGAGCCTCTCGCTCAGCTTCCCTTCCGACCGGAATGTTTGCAGTTGCCTGTCGGGGGAGCCAGGGAGAAGTCCCGGGTCGGAGTACCAGGCCCCCAGCTGGCTCCGGCACACCTACGATACGCCCCGAAGTTTGTTTGCGGCATCTACGACAGGCATCCTCCCCTCTGGTCCAGACGCCGGCCTGTCCAAGACCCAGAGCTCCAAAGGGGATGTGAAACGGCCGGCCCCACATCTGGAGAGAGATGCCACTTCCAGGCCAAGCCTGGAAAAGGACTCGCAAGTCGCCTTCCCGCCGGGTAGCACCAAAGGCTCCTTCCCGGAGACACAGCTCAGGCAGCCGGTTCAGGGCCAGGATTGGAGAGGGCCCGAGGTTGCTCCGTGCGTCTCCAGCAGTTCGTGTGAACTGTGCAGCTCCCCTTCCGAGGCGAAGCCGGCTCTCTTCCCATCTTGCCCAGTCTGTGGTGGGATACAGGTAAACCGTAACTGGCAGCTCATCCTTATTTTGCTTTGAATCTCTCCACGGAACCGGTCCCTGTTGCCCAAAACATTGGGGGCTGCTGTTTTAAAATACCTTTGTACCCTCTAGACCAGAGGTGTCAAACTCAATTTCATTGAGGGCAGCATAAGGGTTCCTTCCTTCCTTCCTTCCTTCCTTCCTTCCTTCCTTCCTTCCTTCCTTCCTTCCTTCCTTCCTTCCTTCCTTCCTTCCTTCCTTCCTTCTTTTTCCTTCCCTCTTCATTCTCCTCTTTCATTATATTTCCTTCCTTCCTTCCCTCCCTCCCTCTTTCCATCCTTTCCCTTCCTTCTGTCCTTCCTTCCTTCCTTCCTTTTCCTTCCCTCTTCATTCTCCTTCCTTCTTCCTTCTCCTCTTTCCTTATTTTTTCCTTCCTTCCTTCCTTTTCTTCTTTTTCCTTCCCTCTTCATTCTCCTTTCTTCTTCCTTCTCCTCTTTCCTTATTTTTTCCTTCCTTCCTTCCTTCCTTCCTTTTCTTCTTTTTCCATCCCTCTTCATTCTTCTTTCTTCTTCCTTCTCCTCTTTCCTTATTTTTTCCTTCCTTCCTTCCTTCCTTCCTTTTCTTCTTTTTCCTTCCCTCTTCATTCTCCTTTCTTCTTCCTTCTCCTCTTTCCTTATTTTTCCTTCCTTCCTTTTCTTCCTTTTCCTTCCCTCTTCCTTCTCCTTTCTTCTTCCTTCTCCTCTTTCCTTATTTTTTTCCTTCCTTGCTCTCTTCCCATCTTCCCTTCTTTTTCGTTGTCTTTCCTCTTTCCCTTTCTCCTTTCCTTTTCCTTCCTACCATGCTCAAATGCAAAAGTGGAAACATTTCTCCTTTTGTTTCGTTTTTAGTTTGTTTTGCTAGCCCTCTGCCGGCAAAAACAGAATCCGGGAGGGCTGTGCGGGGCCCCTCCCGGCCCCATTTTCGGCCGCGATGACCTGCAGCCCTCTGCCGGTGAAAATGGAGCTTGCACGTGCCCCCCTCCCAGTTCTGTTTTAGCTGGCAGAGGTACTGCGGGCTGGTCCTTTGCTGTTTCCAGGGGGGGGGGCCCCCACGGCCCAGATCCGCTCCCCTGGGCCTTGAGTTTGTCATCCCGCTCTAGACAGTTTTTCTGGTGTCGTACGCCAAGTGTGCATCATTTTATAAAAATTCTTTTTAAGATTATAACGGAGTAAATAGACAGAAGGGGAATATTTGTAGCTCAGGGTTAAACTGTGGGCTCCTGGATGCTCTCTGAGCTGGGTTGCTTCCTTGCAAGACGTTTTATGACCCAACTAGGTAACGTCATCAATGCTAGAAGGGACAAGAGTTTATATGCAAGTGGCTCGCTCCATCAGTGTTGGTGGCAGTGTTTTAGGTTGGTTCCTTGATTAAGTTGTGGTTTACCGGAAAAGGAAATTGGCAGTATCGTTGCTCAAAGTCCCTCGCGCCCTCATGCCCTCTCGTCTGGACTACTGCAGAAGTCTCTACAGGGAGCTGCCCTTGAAGAACATTTGAAAGCTTCAACTGGTGCAGAACGAGGCTGCACGAGTGGTAAAGAATGTCAGATACTGGGTCCGTGTAACACCACGGAGCTGCATTTGTGGGTGCTGCTTACCACCTTTAAAGCTTTCCTGGCAGGGTTTTTTTTTTTTTTTACCTTTTTTTACCTTTTTAATGTGTTTCTATAGAGATAACAGATAGTTCTCGACTTACGGCCACAATTGAGCCGCAACATTGGGTCGCTAAGTGAGGGATTTTGTTAAGCGAGCCTTGCCCCCATTGTACGACTTTTCTCGCCACATTTGTTAAGCGAATCCCCCGACGTTGTTAAACGAGTCACACGGTGGTTCGGCGAATCTGGCTTCCCCGTGGACTTTTCTTCTTAGAAAGTCACAAAAGGGGGATCGCGTGACCCCCCTTCCCTCCCCACCGGGGACACCGCAAGCCATAATAAGTGTGAGTCAGCTGTCCAGTATCTGAATGTCAATCATGTCACCCTGAGCCGCCCTGAGTCTTCGGAGAGGGGCGGCATATAAATTTAATAAATTAAATTAAATTAAATTAAATTAAATTAAATTAAATTAAATTAAATTAAATTAAATTAAATTAAATTAAATTAAATTAAATTAAATTAAATTAAATTAAATTAAATTAAATAATTAAATTAAATTAAATTAAATTAAATTAAATTAAATTAAATTAAATTAAATGTCAGAACCTGGGGCTTGCTGCAGCGGTCGTAAGTGTGAAAAATGGTCATGAGTCCATTTTCTCAATGCCATTGTAACTTTGAACAGTCACTGAGTGAACTTATAAATCGAGGACTTCCTGTATTTTAAGAGATCAAGATAAAGCAGTTCGTTTTAGTGCTCCTATTGTGTTTCCCCGAAAATAAGACCCTGTCTTATATTTTTTTGAACCCCGAAATAAGCGCTCGGCCTTATTTTCGGGGAGGTCTTATTATTTTGGGGTACATTGAGTAAGATGGGGCTCCTCTTGCCGTCTTACCTGATTTCCAGCTCTGTGTTTAAATATTTTTGGGGAGGGCTTATTATTGAGCCGAGGTGGCGCAGTGGTTAGAGTGCAGTACTGCAGCTACTTCAACTGACTGCTAGTTCAGCAGATGAGCGGATCAAATCTCACCGGCTCAAGGTTGACTCAGCCTTCCACTCTTCCGAGGTGGGTAAAATGAGGACCCAGATTGTTGGGGGCAATATGCTATTTAGTATACTGTCTTTGGTGTAAGCTGCCCAGAGTCCTCGGAGAGTTGGCGGCATAGAAATATGAATAATAAAAAATAAAATAATAAAAAATAAAAAATTTTGGGGTACGTGGAGCAAGACATGGGCTCCTCTTGCTGTCTTACCTGATTTCCAGCTCTGTCTCCCTAACCCTAATGAGAGGAAATGGCAGAGGAAATGTGTTTAAATATTTTCAGGGAGGGCTTATTTTCGGGGAGGGCTTATTTTCGGAGGAGGGTTTATTTTAGTGGGAGGGCTTACTATTGGGGTATGGCTTATTTTCGGGGAAACACGGTAGTTTTGAAAGAAGCGTATTTTAATACAACCTATTCTCTCTACGTGTGTGTTTGTGTGTTTTTAAAGGAGACTTCAATTTTATCATCTCAAATGTTCGCACCCAATCTAGGTAAGAGCCACGGATGGATTTGAATTTCCCACGCCACTCATGTCCGAAGATAAAAGTTTCCCATTCTAGTTTTGGTTGTTCACTCCTCCAGACGTATCCAGTTAAGTGATTGTCGTTTAAAAGTTTGTTGTCGCCCTTGTAAGGTTGCCTAGTCAGGAGTGCCATCCTTATCTTGATTGCGAAGTTACACAAAGGACATTTCGTAGTTTCTCAAGCAAGACGCAAAGAGAAAATACCTATTGTGAACTTTGCGTAGGCATCAGGAAGGGCATCCGGCCAGTAAATGCTCACTCCATCCAGTGGCCCTGACCCCACTCTGAATTACGAGACTACAGGGTCGTAAAAAGAAAAAAAACACACACAAAGGAAATTTTGTAGTTTCACTCTCTCAAGGCGGAAAGGAAAAATACCTATTGCAAACTCCATGTAGGTGTTAGGAAGGGCATCCAGCCAGTAAATGCTCAGTCGCTCTGACCCCACCCCGAATTAAGGGATGACAGGGGTATAAAAAGAAAAAAAAAGGAAATTTCATAGTTTCTCTCTCAGGGCACAAAGAGAAAATATTTACTGTGAACTCCATGTAGGAGTCAGGAAGGGCATCCGGCCAGTAAATGCTCACTCCACCCAATGGCCCTGACCCCGTTCTGAATTACGAGTCTACAGGGTCGTAAAAAGGAAAAAAAACACACACACACAAAGGAAATTTCGTACTTTCTCAAGGTGGAAAGAGAACATACCTACTGTGAACTCCATGTAGGCGTCAGGAAGGGCATCCAGCCAGTAAATACTCAGCTCCAGTCAATCGCCCTGACCCCACCCCGAATTAAGGGACTACAGGGGCATAAAAAGAAAAAACCTGGAAATTTCATAGTTTCTCTCTCAGGTCACAAAGAAAAAATATCTACTGTGAACTCCACGTAGGGTGTCAGGAAGGGCACCTGGCCAGTAAATGCTCAGCTCCAGTCAGTCACACTGATTTAAGGGACTACAGGGCTGTAAAAAAAACACACACACAAAGGAAATTTGGCTAGTCTGAGAATACATCTCTTCCCACTCCCACCTTTACAGAGCTAAACCCTAGGGAGGGTCCCATGTGAGACATAAGCCATGCCCGCATTCCTTCTGCAGGCTCGGCTTCCTCCCGCTTCCAAGGTCATCCCCACAGACTTCGCATTCTGTTTTGTTTCTGCAGAACCGTCCCTTTCGGAGCAATTGCACGGCGAAATGGCAACTTACGTGAATATCCCCACGAGCCCCACAGCAAAGAAGCAACTCCATTACATGGAGGTGGAGCTTCAGGAAGCCAGCGGGAGCGTTCGAGGTAAGAATCTCCAAAAATGGCCAAGCAGGCAAGAGTATGTGTTTTTCGCGGCGTTCTGAGCTACGCTAAGAATCACAATAAGCCTTTGGAATATAAAAGCTTCTCTCCTCGTCCCTCCCTCCCGAATTTGGCTGAATAACCACCGTTGCAGGCAGTCCTCGACTTACGACCAGAATGAGTCCCCACAATTTACGTCGCTAAGTGAGACATTTGTTAAGCGTGGGGGTTTTTTATGACTTTTCTTGCCACATTTATTCAGGGAATACCTGCAGTTGTTAAATTAATGCCACACGGTTGTTAGGTGAAGCTGGCTCCCCCCGTTGAGGATGGTCGCAAAAGGGAATGATACGGCCCTGAGACATTGCATCCGTCATAAATGTGAGTCAGTCGGCAAGCGCCTGAATTTTGATCATGTGACTCTGGGGATGCTGCAACGGTCATCAGTATGACAAATGGTCATCAGTCACTTTTGCAGTGTCGTCGCAAAATTCACCTAACAACTGTCTCACTTAGCAATGGAAATTTGGGGCTCAATTCTGGTCGTAAATCGAGGACTACCTGTATAACCTGAAGGGAGGCATCCAGGCAATCTTAGAGGAGTCTTCCTGCGGGGGCAGGAAAGGAGATAGGCTTCCCAGAAGAGCCAAGCTCAGGTAGTCCTCAACTTATGACCGCAATTGAGCCCAAAATTTCTGTCGCTAAGTGAGACATTCGTTAAGTGAGTTTTTGCCCCATTTCACCACCTGTCTTGCCACTGTTTTTTCCGTGAATCACTTCAGTTGATATTTTAGTAATTTGCTTGTTAAGTGAATTCGGCTTCGCCACTGACTTTGCTTACCAGAAGGTCGCAAAGAGTGATCGCTGTAACCGTCATAAGTATGAGTCCATTGCCAAGCGACCGAATTGTGATCGCGTGGCCACGGGGATGCTGCAATGGTCCTTAAGGGTGAAAAACAGTCGTCAGTCACTGGTTTCAGTGCCGTTGTAACTTTGAATGGTCACTAAATGAAACATCGTAAGTCGAGGACTGCCTGGGTTCGCTCTCCTAAGCTTCCAGAGATCCAGAGTGGGGGGTGGGGGGAGGAAGGGGTGGCTTATCGGTCCTTGTGTAAAATTGAGATTCCCACTCTGCGTTTGTGGGATACGCTGCGTGGCCAACACAATGCTTTCACACCCAGGCGGCGACACCACAAAATACGCCCAGATTGACATCACCGCCACGGAAACGGCCCATAAAGTGGGTACCCAGCACGCCCACTTTCGAGAAGAGCGTCTGCAGGAACTGGAGCAGCAGCAGCAGAAAAAAGACGGCGGCCCTCCCGGTTCTTCCTAAGGGGGCAGAAATTCGCCACCTGCCCACCTGCGCTCGCCCTCCTAAACGCCATCCCTGCGCTCCGGTCTGGACCAGATTCATTCCAATGGACTCAATTTCCAGCAGGAAAACCGGCAGCACGGCTGACGGGTGCGCCAAAGCCACTCGTCGCAACCGTGTGCGCAGATTCTCCGTCATCCGCCTCGTGGTTTGTCCCAAAGCGGTTTTTTTTTTCCCCAAGAGGCAACTGGACTTTCTTTGAAGACGTTTCGCTTCTCATCCAAGAAACTTCTTCAGCTCCGACTGGATGGCGGGGAATGGTGGATACTCCTTGCAGACTAGTTGGTCATTTGCATCCCTTTTTTAGAGGGCCGTTGAGGCCACTTGGAGCTTTGTCTGTGTCCTCGGGGTCCTTTTTCAAGAGGCAGTTGGACTTTCTGATTTTTCTCGGAAGACGTTTCGCTTCTCATCCCTGAAGCTTCTTCAGCTCCGATTGGAAGGCGGGGAACCGGAAGGATTTATACTCCTTGCAGAGAGCTGGTTATTTGCATCCTTTTAGAGAGCTGTTGAGGCCACTTGGAGTTTTGTTTATCTGTGTCCAAAGCATCATCTGAATAGTTAAAATGGGTGTGAAGACAGGGGTGAAATTCAGCAGGTTCTGGAGAACTGGTAGCGGAAATTTTGAGCAGTTCGGAGAACCGGCAAATGCCACCTCTGGCTGCTCCCAGAGTAGGATGGGAATGGAGATTTTGCAGTATCCTTCTTCTCCTGCCACGCCCACCACACCACACCCACCAAGCCACACCACGCCCAACAAGCCCCGCCCACAGAACCGGTAGTAAAAAAAATTCGGATTTCACCATTGGTGTGGAGCCTTCTTGGAACTGCTGAAAGGACCATGTCGTAGACTGAGAGATAGATAATGTCGTAACCCTCCCCCTCTGATAAGGGAGGGCTGTTCGGTTTTGATACAGGTGGCCTCTTTGACCCTCTCTTCCAAACCAGCAGTCCTCTCTGTTGAAAAAAAAAAATGTGGATCTTGGCACACGAGGCATTACATACCAAAAACGGTGAAATCGAGGCATTTCAAGTCCGAGAAAGGTAACTAGAACGAAATATGCAAGAAACGCAACTCTGTACAGTGTACGCATTGATCCGATTGCTTTTGTTAAGAGCCGAAATGGCTTTGGTTTGTTGTTGTTATTGTTATTATTATTATTTTTTTTCAAAAAGCAGAAGGACACGTCTACGTGATTAGGATTGGGACGAGGAGCGAGCAGCATGAAACAAAACCGACTTTTAATTTTGCCTTCTTGTTGTTACTGGGCGCTTCTGGCTGGGATGCGGGTGTGTCCTTCCTCTTTGTAGAAAGCAGGGGTCTCCAAACTTGGTAACTTTTAAGACCTGTGAACTTCCGCTCCATGCTGGCTGAGGAATTCTGGGAGTCGAAGTCCCACGAGTCTTAAAATGGCCACGTTTGGGGACCCCTGTTGTAGAGTAACTGGTGTTTCCAGAAAACTTTTGGGAAGCGGATGGCTTTGGTGGATTCTGCATTCCCGGGAAATGCATCTCCCACGCAGATCAGGAAGGTGGGGGGAACTTTTTCCTCTTTTTTTGCTTGGATCAAAGGCTGCTAGTGTGCAGGAAGAGACCACTCCCACTACCGCTTGCACCCCCAGCCAAAGCAACTGATTTTTATTATTTATTATTTATCTGTATGTAGCTGTCCTTCCAGGATTCCCCGGTGTCCATAATGACGGTTGCAATTATTAATATTTTATAGGTACGGGCATTGATCTGCATGTCCAGCACAGCTACCGTGTTTCCCTGAAAATAAGCCCTCCCCTGAAAATAAGCCCTCCCCCGAAAATAAAATCTCCCCTGAAAATAAGACCTGCTCTGAAAATAAGCCCTCCCCTGAAAATAAGATCTCCCCTGAAAATAAGCCCTCCCCTGAAAATAAGCCCTCCCCCAAAAATAAGACCTCCCCTGAAAATAAGACCTCCCCTGAAAAATAAGACCTCCCATGAAAATAAGCCACCTCCAACAATAAGACCGCCTCCAGAAATAAGACCTGCCCTGACAATAAGACCCCCCCGAAAAGAAGACCTCCCCTGAAAAGAAGACCTCCGCTGAAAATAAGACCTCCCCTGAAAATAAGACCTCCCCCAAAAATAAGACCTCCCCCGAAAATAAGACCTCGCCTGAAAATAAGACTTCCTCTCCAGGGTCTCCTCATGCGTAGCTGGTCCCCGCCATTTCCTCTGGTTAGGGTTAGGGAGACAGAGCGGGAAATCAGGTAAAACGGCAGGAGGAACTCGCCTTGCTCCATGCGCCCCAAAGTAATACCTCCCCGAAAATAAGGCCAAGTGCTTATTTCGGGATTATTTTCAGGGAAACACAGTAGTATCAGGGAGGTGTCGTTGAAAATCCCCAGAAAGCCACTCAGGGGGGGTCTTCCATTGACCTGCCCCTCCTCCCTTGCCATCAGTCACCTTCTGCTCTTTTCCCTATTATGTCATCTCACCTGGTCCCATCCATCTGGGTAGCCTTTTCGGCCTCTCGCAGGTGGCCATCCCTGCCCTGCATATTTAGGGGGAACTTCAAGGTACAAGCAAGTGAGCATAACGGTGCCACTCAAATTCCGCCTCTTTTCTATGCACCTAAAGATATCAGATGGAGGTTTTGGTCACATCGCAATAGCATTTATAGTGCTTTTATATATACCACTTCATAGTGCTTTACTGGCCCTCTCTAAGCGGTTTACAGAGTCAGCCTCTTGCCCCCCAACAATCTGGGTCCTCATTTTCCCGATCTGGAAAGGACGGAAGGCTGAGTCAACCTTGAACCGGTCAGGATTGAACTGCGGGTGGTGGGCAGAGTTAGCCTGTAATACTGCACTCTAGCCACAGGGAGAGAGGGAGGGAAGGAGGAGGAAGGGAGGAAGGAAGGAAGGAAGGAAGGAAGGGCAATATCATTTCATAGGGCATTTCAGCCCTTTCTGAGCAGTTTATAGAGTCAGCCTGTTGCCCCCAACAATCTGGGTCCTCATTTTACAGACCTCGGAAGGATGGAAGGCTGAGTCAACTCTGAGCTGGTCAGGATCGAACTGCTGGCAGTCGGCAGAGATAGCCTGCAACATTGCAATGTAACAAGTCCACCACTATAGCTTCCTTCCTTCCTTCACAAGCAATAGCACTTATATACCGCTTCACAGTGCGTCACATCCCTCTCTAAGCGGTTTACAGAGTCAACATATTTTCCCCAACAATCTGGGTCCTCATTTTACGGACCTCGGAAGGATGGAAGGCTGAGTCAACCTTGAGCCGGTCAGGATCGAACTGCCGGCAGTCGGCAGAGTAAACCTGCAGTGCTGCATTCTGACCACTGCACCACCACGGCTCTTCTCCTGAGCGAAGAAACTCAAGGCAGGATATGGTCGCGCGGTCGAAGGGCGAGAAAACCTGTTGTTCCCGTCTTACAGCAGATCATCATGGAGCGTCCCGAGACTGCAGCTGTTTTTGGGGCTGTTTAGAAGGAGGAGAGACAATTAGAGAGCAGATACCACCTCTTGTTGTTTGACCAGGGAGTTACACGCTGCAGAAACCAGTTATAATATGGAATTTGCAACCCAAACGGTGCAGATCGATAGCTTTTAGTTTATTGAGCTGCTTGGGTTTTGAAAAACAGCATGTGTGGTCGTCTCATTTTTGTTCCCAACCGGTTCCATTTCCCAGCCTTTTTTTCTGCACAATCTCGTTTCCTTTGGGCCCAACAGAGCTCCGTCAACGGCGGGAGGTTCGGTCCACATTCTGCCCCCTATAGAAACGGGGACTATCAGCGCCCCACTTCCTTATTTTTACTCCATCGTGTACTTAGTTCTGACTCTGGTCCGGCGTTTGAGACACGTTCTCACATTTTTACCAAACAGTGTGCAGAACCGCCTGTGTAGAATTTAGGTGCCTCTTGAAAGATGGGCTTGAGCGGCCTCTCCGAAGTGTCCTTCAAATGCTGAAATAAAAAAGTAAAATAGTGATTATCGTGTGTTTCAGTGACATGTATGTGTGTGTGTCTTTCCGTGTGCTACTTTGGGGAAACGAGTGAGGAAATCACACAACGGGAAAGCACAACCTGCCGAGAACTTCAAAAGATCAGCAGACACAGAGGTCCTGCGGACTGCCAAAAGGGTTTTCCAGGCGAGAGAATGGATTCAGAGGACGTGGAGTCCACCCCCCCAATTTTTATTTTCAAACCAAAGTTTTTCCTCGCCCCCACAGGCGGGGGGGAGGGGCACAAAACTTGTCGAGACAACAGGGCTGCTCCAATGCAGCAGGGTTGGCTACTTCAGAATGTCAAGCAGCGGCATCAAATGCCGTCGTGCATTATAGCCAATTCCACCCACAATTATTCCCAAACCCCTACCATCACCAATCGGGTCTTACCCCCACCCCAACAAGCCAGGCAGAGGCCACAGGCACTCCAACCTGATAGTCTGGGTCAGGTCTACAACAACTCACCACGGGCAACTCTTCATGGCCAACTCCCCATGGCCAACTTTTCATGGCCAACTCACCATGGCCAACTCTTCATGGCCAACTCACCATGGCCAACTCTTCATGGCCATCTCCCAATGGCCAACTCACCATGGCCAACTCTTCATGGCCAACTCACCATGGCCAACTCACCACAGTCAGACTCTTCATGGCCAAATCATCGCCAACTCCCCACAGCCAACTCTCCATGGCCAACTCACCACAGTCAGACTCTTCATGGCCAACTCTTTATGGCCAACTCCCCACGTCCAAATCATCGCCAACTCTCCACGGCCAACTCTCCACAGCCAACTCACCACAGTCAACTCTCCATGGCCAACTTCATGACCAACTCCCCACGGCCAAATCATCACCAACTCCCCACGGTCAACTCTTCATGGCCAACTCACCACAGTCAACTCTTCATGGCCAACTCTTCATGGCCAAATCACCACCAACTCCCCACAGCCAACTCTCCATGGCCAACTCTTCATGGCCAACTCCCCATGGCCAACTCCCTACAGCTAATGCCCCATGGCCAAATCACCGCCAATTCCCCACAATCAACTCTCCACAGCCAAATCACCGCCAACTCCCCATGGCCACCTCTTCATGGCCAACTCCCCACAGCCAACTCTCCATGGCCAACTCTTCATGGCCAACTCCCCATGGCCAACTCCCTACAGCTAATGCCCCATGGCCAAATCACCGCCAATTCCCCACAATCAACTCTCCACAGCCAAATCACCGCCAACTCCCCACGGCCACCTCTTCATGGCCAACTCACCGCAGCCAACTCTCGATGAGCCAACTTGCCACAGGACAAGAGTTACGCTAATAGAAATAGTGGAACAGACTCCTTAAAGAAACGATGCCAAAGGAGGGTCAAAATAAAAGGTGAACGACACCAATTAAAATACTTTTAACGATTGTTTTAAATCATTCAACCTAAATCGTTGGATTGTCCCGTAGCGGAGTCGGCCCAGGCGAGTCGGGCGTGGTGAGTTGGCAGCGGTGCATTGTCCCATTCTGCTCTAGATCTTTAGAAGACCGCTGTTCCTGCTCGTCCCAAAAACATCTCAGGAAGGCCCTAGCGCCCCCTTCTCAGTCCCACCCCAACGCCCCCCAATTCCCAGGTTGTCATCGCAGTTTCAAGAGCAGCCCCTGAGCAGAAAAGGCTTGCGGGGGGTGGGGGAGAGAGAAACAAAGCAGGCAGTTCAGCCGACGGCGAAGGTCGTGGTCGCAAAGGAGACAGGGAAAGAGCAGGCCTGTTATTTTAGGGAAGGGGCAGCCGAGTCCCCCCCCTCTTTCGCCATGCCCAGCCGTACTCGAGGGGTGTCTCAAGTAACAGGAGTGGAAACTTTTTAATGAGTTGCCGGCTTGGATGACAAGTGACCTTTGAATACGAGATGGATTTTTATTTCAGGACAGGCCTGGTGCCATTCCCTTCTCTCGGGCTCATTCAATTCAGGTCACCCTCCCACAGATATATGAAAAAAGCCCACCACTACCCTGCCTGCCCCTCCCCCTGCCTCCCCGGACAATTGGAGCAGCCCTGCTGAGCTGGGCGGTCCAGCCTCTTACCTGGGAGATGGAGAGGGCTTAAAATTCAGGGGCCTCCTCAGCAGATCTTGCTTATCCTGTAGAGGGAAGGGGAGCAACGGTGTGCCCAATGAACTGCCTGTGTGCTCCTCCACTTGATTGGATGCCCCTTTTTCTGCCTGGGAGCAGGAGGGTGGGCGGGGGTCCGATTCAGAGGGCAGGGGGGCAC